CCCCCCAACTCTGACTGCATGGACAAAGTGCCTCTAGCCCAGGATTCAGGACGTGACCTCTCTCGGCATTAACAGCGTCTGAACTCTGGCTCTCTGCTGGACTGCGGGGGCGGGTCTGGAAGGTCCCTCGGTCCCCAAGATTGGATCTTTCCAGCGCCGCCCAAGAGGGGCAACTGGGCCAAGGCCCCACATGTGGGCTGATCTGTTTGAAAGTCATCCTCTTCCCCCGCCCCCGCCTAGAAGGCCAGTGCCCCTCCAGAAATTCCTGCCTCGAGAGGGAGGCCCTCAGAATACCGCCACACTGCTCCTGCGTCTGCCTACCTTCACAGGTGCACCTGTCTTCCCTCACATCTGCTAGACTGCACCTGTTCTATGCATTGTGGTCCACCAAAGACAAACAGTAACCCCCACGATGCGACATTTCTGTGTGACTGAATCAGACTTGGCTGCTGCAGGAAAGGCCCACCCAGAACCCCGCTGAGGATCGCTGAACTCAGAGGACTCCCCAAGCTCTCGATTACTGTGGTTACTGTTGAGCAGGGTGTTAGTTGGAGTACAGGGAATAACTCAAGGCTGGCACACTGCCTGGAAGACCACACTGCCATGTGTGAAATAAGTCACGATTTAAGACAAATAACCCAAGCATTCACCTATGCTTACCTTGTTGGCTGAAGGGGTCGGAAAATGCTTCTTGAAAAAAGATGGCCTCTGAGTTAGACCTTTACAGATAACTATTTATTAAAGGCTTGCTATGTGCATTCTCATGCAATCCCCTCAGTAATACTGAAAAACAGGAGCTGTGATTTCTCCCATTTTATAAATAATGAAACTGAGGTCAAGAGAAGTGGAATAATTTTCCTGAGGTCCCACTGCTGAGCCCATTCTTCCATCTGGCTTCCTAGTATACTCTGTAGAATTTAGTTAGGTGATAAAATAGCCAATAAGTAATCCTTAACAGTTAATGGGTAACAAATCACTGATGAGAGGCAATTAAAATGTTTCAAGTAGATAGGATATGGGCACCTGGGTGGCTCAGTCAGTTAAGCCTCCGACTCTTGGTTTTGGCTCAGGTTATGATCTCACAGTTCATGAGATCCAGCCTTGTGTTGGGCTCTGTGCTGACAGCACAGAGCCTGTGTGGGATATTCTCTCTCTCTCTCTCTCTCTCTCTCTCTCTCTCTCTCTCTCTCTCTGCCCTTCCCCTGCTCAAGCTCTATCTCAAAATAAATAAATAAACATTTTTTAAAAAAAAGAATAATATAGATATGATATTAAATCCATGGACTCTGGGGGAACCTGGGTGGCTCAGTCAGTTGGGCGTCCAACTTCGGCTCGGGTCATGATCTCACAGTTTGTGAGTTCAAGCCCCGCATTAGGCTCTGTGCTGACAGCCCAGAGCCTGGAGCCTGCTTCCGATTCTGTGTCTCCCTCTCTCTCTCTGCCCCTCCCCTGCTCACACTGTATCTCTCTCTCCTTCAAAAATTAATAAACTTAAACAAAAAATAAATCCATGGACTCTGGTACATTAAACTTACTTTATGGTTTTGATTTATTCCAATTTATCTTTTCTTATTCATGTTTCATTAAAAAAAGTTTTGGTGATAGCAATTATAAATTTTGTTTACAAGGAAAATCAATTCATAAATTCAAAATAAACTGTATCAATGTAAAAGTAACACAATTAGACAATTAGAACTTTAATAGTACTGCTTCAGCATATTTTTAGATATGGAACCCTGTGAGATCAACATTCTTCTACCTACCATGTAAATATGAATCACTTCAAAATTGTTTTTAGCTACAATCTGTTACATATTTTAAAGAACTAAAAAAATCAAGACCTAGACTTTGATTATCATCACTTCTAAAAGTTATAAAAGAAAATATCTCATCAAAGAGTTCTAAATAAAAGCAAGTATTAAGAAATCTCAAACACAAATACACCCATGATCATTTTTATACTTTATTAGTATCATTTGAGGTCTTCAACAATTTGGTTTCAAACTGAGATCTTCCCTGCAAAAAAACTCTTCTGGGGAACTGAACTGTATTCTGGGCTATGAAAAAGCCACTTTTCTGATATGAGCTCAGATATGGATTCCCAGGGATTATTTGTGCTAAGAGACCCTCCTGCCAAGGGATGCCGGTAAATTGTGGTGATTTGGCCTTTTCCACCCTCACCTTTAGCTGAGAAAACCTTTTGCCGTGAAACCTTTACTACACCATCCATTTTACTCAAAGATAAAACCTTAGAGGAATAATCTTTCTTTTTCATTGAACCTCCTTTTCCTGGGCCAGTCCATGGCTCCACATTATCCTGTGTCTTCTGTCGGGTCTTCTCCTCAACAGAAATGGAAACGATGGGTCTCGAGACTTTTTTCCCTTTTCCAGAAGCACATTTTGATTTCTCTGAAATTATATGAGGTGCCAAGTCCATGCTTTTAACTCTCTGTAGGTTATGTGCATTCATGCGTATCGCAGAGCTCACTGTATTAGAACTCTGAGCACTGTGGTAGTCTAATTTAAGCAAGTACTCCCATAATGAGGTGCCATTCCTAGAACCCTCGAAATATTGCTGACTCATGCCTTGAGGCCAACATCTTCTACTCCTGATCCGCTCAATTTCCCTCAGAAGTCTGCAAAAGATCAGAAATCGTCAAGAGGCCACATGTGTCACGTGAATAGCCAGAAGCAGGTTTCTTTTTGAGACCCAGAACAGAAACTCACTGCAGGATTCCATGGATTGACGAATGAGAAGATCCCAGGTAGGTCGCCCTTAAGTCAAGTGATCTGTACAGATAGCCCACTGCTTCAGTCATGACGTGATGACCGGAGTCATTTATGAATAACTGACCTGCTGGATATTTGAAAATAAGAATATTAGCATTTTTAAAAATTACTCCTGGTTTCACATACTTAAAAGAGAAGGATAAAAAAAAAATTATAAAAGATGGCACTGGGTGCTTGTTTCAGCAGTACATATACTAAAATGGGAATGATACAGAGAAGATTACGTGAACCATTCCATTATTTTTAAGAAAAGGGTGGCTCAGTCGTTTGAGCAGCCTACTTTTAACTTCAACTCAGGTCATGGTCTCACAGTTCGTGAGTTCGTGCCCCATGTCAGGATCTGAGCTGACAGTGCAAAGCCTGCTTGTGATTCTCTCTCTCTCTCTCTCTCTCTCTCTCTCTCTCTCTCTCTCTCTTTCCCCCTTCCCTGCTCATGTTTTCTTTCTCTCTCAAAATAAATAAACAAAAAAAAAGATGGCATTAGAACATCATCTATTATAGTATTCCTGACAAAAACATTTAATCCAAGTCTAAATATAAGGAAACAATCAGATACAAATTGATTTTGGCTCAGGTCATGGTCTCATGGTCATGGGATTGAATGTCAGGCTCTGTGCTGACCATGGAGCTTGCTTGGGATTCTCTCTCTCCCTCTCTCTCTCTCTGCCCCTCCCTCTCGTGCATGCACACACGCACTCTCTCAAAATAAATAAAAATAAACGTTTAAAAAAAGGATATTTCCTAGAACACGTGGGGACACTTGAATATAAACTGCACATTAGATAACAGCCTTATGTAATGGTCAATTTCCCAGATTTGATAAGTGTATCGTGGTTATTTAGGGGAACGTCCTTGTATTTTGAAGACACATGATGAAGTATTTACAAACAGGAGTGTCATATCAACAACTGACATTCAAATAGTTTGGAAAAAAAATACGGATGGACATGCATGTATGAAAGAGAAAAAGAATGCAAATGTGGCCAAAAACGTTAACAATTGGTGAATATAGGCAAAGGGTCTATAGGTGTTCATTATATAAAGCCAGGTGCCACTGTCAATAATGTAATATAACTCTCTAAAATGTGTTTATATATATATATGCATATATATATATATGACATATACACACATATATATTAACAGTCTAAACTGCAAGTGGTAAATTTATTCATTTATTCATCTACTCATTTTACCCATTTATTCATTTACTCATTTTACCCATTTACAAGACCCATTTTAAGGAGCTGAATTTCTACCACTAGTTATAAACATAATGTAAGGCCAGTGCATACAGGACATCGATTTGGGTGTGTGACAAAGAGACTGCCAAGATCTTAAGGGTAAAAACCACCGGCCCCATATTAATAATAATAATAACAACGGTAAATTATGCGATTGCCATCCATCGGGCCTGTGTAATCCTAAAAGGTATGGATGATCATCATTTGTCTATTGTTTTCTCATTTAGCCTTTTGCTAGGACACACATCCACGTGGTTCAATGAAAATGTATAAAGCTATGAAGTAAAAAGCGTCTCTCCCATCTCGGTCCTCATCTGTGCAGTCTTCTCCTAACCCGCGTCCTTCCAGAGAACTTTTAGTGCATGTCTATTGTCTTTTAAAGAGGAGAAGACTGGAAGAAGTAACTAGCTCCCGTTCATGGTAGAACAGTCCAAGGTCTGCTTCATCCCCAAGCCCGTGTCCTCCACTGACTGCTACACTAGGCTGCCGCTTCCCTCATCCTGGATTGTCCTTCTTCGGAGGACCAGCCGTGGCTTCTATTTGCAGAAATGTTCTCTTCTCTGTAGCTCTGCCTCATGAGTCATAACCCAGGTCTCAGAGTCTCGTAGGGAGCTGTAGCTATTGGCTCTGCTTAGCAATCTGTGGCTATTTTTCTTCTTTTCGAATTATTTTCATAACTCCCTGTGATGTTATGTCTAGCAGAGCAGAAGGCACTTTCACAAGTGACCCTGCTCTGGATGGCCACGTTGCCTTGGTCTTAACTAACCTTACAAGGTAAAGAGAAGAAGAGAGCCAGAATGTCTCACGCGACAGCTGAGCAAGAACTCATTCCCCGAGATCTTCTGGATGCCAATAACCAGGCCGCACAGAATGTTTATTCTGCCCAAAGCCCTTTAATAGGCTCCGACTTGCCACACAGACCAGCTGCCACTGCCCCAACACACACAGTTTCCGGCTCCTGCTCCTCAGACTCCCTCCTGGCCACACATCTTGGCTCCTCAGGCCCCTGTACCCTCAGGATCCATTCTGCACCTGTATCTGTAGCTCTGACCTCAGACACAATCCAGTCCTCTCTTTCTGGCAACAAGTGTTGTAGCTTTCAGGAAAGGACAGCCTTGCCTCAGGCCCAGCCCCAGGCCATCCCATCCTCCCTTGGAATCAGTACTGGCTGGGCAGCACGACCTAGCCTGGTCAGTCCTCCCAGCCCAGGGAAGAAGACAGACCAGGATGGGTTCGTTTCAAGTAGATGGAAGTCACCGAGCCTCTTCTTACTTGAACTCTTCATTCTCAATGGAGAGGGAATCTAACGTTAATTGGGCATTCTGTTGGGTCTTTCTGCATACATCATCTCATTTAATCTTCAAAATAACCCTATGGACATTATTACTATCACTTTTTGGCCAGTAAGAAAATTGAGACTCAGAGAGGTTCTGTCCAGAAACCAGCAGAACTGAGATTCAAAGCCAGGTCCCTGGGATCCAAGCACTATAACTTCTAGAGGTAGGTAAAGACAACACCGTTCTCCCTGTTGCAATGGATCCTTAGGAGATTTTCCATAAAAATATAGATAGGGAGGAACCATCAGCTATCTTTTCATTTTGCACTTAGGGACAGAATATGAATCAGAGGTAAGAAAAGTGGGGGACAGGCCTACCAACTACGTTGAAAATCTGTCCTCAGATTTAAAAAATTTTTAATGTTGATTTTCTTTTTGAGACAGACAGCACAAGTGGGGGAGGGGCAGAGAGAGAGATACACACATAGAATCCAATGCAGGCTCCAGGTTCTGAGTTGTCAGCACAAAGCCCTATGCAGGGCTCGAACTCATCAACCACGAAATCATGACCTGAGCCAGAGTCGGACGCTCAATTGACTGAGCCACCCATGCGCCCTTATTCTCAGATTTTAAATGGTAAGTTCTCCTCATCCCCCGCTGCCAACTTTTTTACTGCTTATATTAAAAATAAAGTGGGGGACGCCTGGGTGGCTCAGTCGGTTGAGTGTCCAACTCTTGATTTTGGCTCAGGTCATGATCTCATGGGTCGTAAGATCAAGCCCCGAATCAGGCTCTGTGCTGTGGAGCCTGTTTGGGATTCTCTCTCCCTCTCTCTCTGTCCCTCCCCCACTCACTCACTCTCAGTCTCTCTCTCTGTCCAAATAAATAAATAAACATTACTAAAAGAATAAAATAAAAAATAAAGCGGTAACTTTACTATCTCCTCTAGAAAAAGAAAGCAAGATCTTTTATCCAAAGACAATCCTCTGCCCTTTTAAGTATTCTTCTAAAGTACAACCTTTTCTGGTCTGTATTCTACTACAATTTAAGCCTCCTGCTTCCTCTAATATTTGCTGTCACCTAACATGTGGGATTTTCCAATGCCAGCCCTGTGTTTACTTAATCCCCAGTCCATAGTTGCAATGCAGGTGGTTGCCACCAGCTAACAAGGAAGATCTCAGGTGTTGGTGGAGGTCCTCAGGAAATCGAATCAACTCTATGGACACTGCCTAACAGGGAGTCCCCCCTACCTGTGCACCTGTGTGGGAATGAATGGGCTAAGTAGAGACAATCCCCTTCTATGTTCTCTACCCAGAAGGTGTCCTGCAAATGTGAATGAGGAAGGAGGATTATGCATTGCCTAGAGGTTCTTTGTTGAAAGTTTTTTTGTTTGCTAAGTATGCATGTCCAAAGTTTCTTCCTCAGAAGTCCTTCAGTTTGAGAAACTAAGCTTGTTTCCTCATTCTTTCAATAAATGTGTGTCTATAAACATATTAGGGAGGGAGAAAGCTATCATTGTCTCAAAGTGAAATGTTGCAACTGGATGTCTCCATGGGCTTTCCATTTCTGCCCTGAAAGGAAACAATAAAAGAGGGTATGTGGGCGGGGAGAAGGATGGAGGGTGTCCTTCGCTCCACCCCTCTCCACTGAGACCATTGGCAGGTCCACTTACAGGGACCCGGCTGCACATGACAAGCAGCAACCTCTGTCCTCTGCCTCAGTACTGCATGAGTTCATTCCACCGATTCAGGGGCCTGTGCAGACCCCACTTTTGAGTAGAGGGAACAAATTCATTGTTCTCTCTTACACAGGCTTTTGCCCCTACCACTACTCCACCAAAACTGAAGGTTCCCTGCGACCCCTGTGGCGCAAGGGTCTGCTCTCAAGTTGGTGGTCAGTTGTCAGCCCTGTCCTTTCTCAGCTTCCATGACTTTACCGATTCTCAGCCTCCTTCTAGAGCCATTCCTCATCTTTCACTGCAACTCTTCCCTCTGCCCAGCCCTTAAATACTGGCATTCTTCCAACTTCTATCTCTTGCCATCTTTTTGTCTTATATTCTTCTTGGCTCTTTCAACCATTCTACCAGGTTGACCCACCAAGCATCTGCTAAGGACTCCAAAATATTTTTCTCCAGCTCAGTCTTCTAGCTCCTAAGCACCAGAGTCATATACTCTACTGCCTACTGAATGTCCCCACTCACATAAGAGATTCAAACTCAACATGCCCTAAATTAGCTCACCATGGATCCCACCCCAACTCTCAACCTATGCTTCCTGTCTTAGAACGGCAACAACTTCATCCACGCAGATGCAATCACCTCTGGTATGGCCATAAACTGGGGGATACCTTTGTTCCCTTCCCTCACCTCCCACATCCAATCAAGCACTGAAAACAGTTGGATTTACCTCTGAAATCTCAAATACAACCCTTTCTATTTCTACTGTCCTGGTCTCAGTTAACACAGGAGACTCTCCAGTCCTCTCTTACCAGCCCCATCCTCTATCAGCCACAGAGTATTAGATCTAAAATACATTTTTGGTGGGGTGCCTGGGTGGCTCAAGTGGTTAAGCATCTGACTCTTGGATCTCAGCTCGGGTCTTGATCTCAGTGTCGTGAGTTTAAGCCCTGAATTCAGCTCCACACTGGGCATGATGTCTACTTTAAAAAATGAAGTGAGAGTTGTTTTCTATGAAAAACAGGCTGAATGCCTTGGAATTCTTTCAAATTCCAGGACAAGACAGCCATAAAAGGTGGAGGGAAGAAAGAGATAGCAACCTAGAAGGATCTTACACAAACCATGACAATTGTCCAAGTTCTCACCCTACAGAAACTAAAACTGGAAATTGTGGGTGATACATTTTGAGAAAGGTGATGGCTAATTCTAATCAGAGGACCCATTCTAAAAAAAAAAAAAGTCTTGATTCTAAATTTAAGAGTTTGAGGAAATAACTATTTATATGTGGAAGTTAAAATTGAAATGCATAGGATGCCTGAGTGGCTCAGTCAGTTGAGCATCCGACTTGATTTCAGCTCAGGTCATGATCCCAGGGTCAAGAGATTGAACCCCAAGTCAGGCTCCATGCTGAGCATTCTCTCTGTCTCTCTTTCTTCCACCCCCACATGTGTGCTCTCTCTCTCTCTCTCTCTCTCTTTCAAGGAAAGAATAAAATAAAATTGAAAGGCAGTTTGTCTATGTCACTTACCTGATCTTTTGGATTAAGAGACCTAGTGCTATAGAGGACCACAGCTGAGCTGAGCATTGAAAACTCCTCTGAGGAGAGAGGACTGACTCACCGTATGGAAAGTCACCCACTAGAGCTTTTGTTTAATTTCTTCCTTCTAAATTTGACAGAGATGGTTGGCATTTCTTTTTTTAAAAGAATCCCAGGGAGAGGGAAGTAACGTGAACTTCATCTATCATACTTCTTTCAAAATAAACAATTCAGTACAGAACATTCAGCTTGATATTATGGGATATGAAAAGCCACACTCCCACTGAAATTATTTCTCAATAGGCGGATTTAAAACACTTATCAGAGGAGCGCCTGGGTGGCTCAGTCGGTTGAGCATCCGACTCTTGATCTCGGCTCAGGTCTTGATCTCACGGTTCATGGCATAGAGCCCTGCCTTGGGCTCTGCACTGACAGCATGGAGCCTGCTTGGGATTCTCTCTCCACCCCCTCTGCCCCTCCCCCACTTGTGCACATACGAGCTCTCTCATAAATACATAAACAAAAACACTTATCAGAGAAGGAGAACAGTAATACGGTTCTGTGTCAGAGGTAGCCTGGAACATAAATCACAAAAATCCTCTTTTCATAGTCAGGATTCGTACTAAAATCTCCAGAATTAACAATTTTATCAGGTTAAGATTTGTCTTGAAACTGGATTGAAATTGAGAGGAGACAAGCTGTACAGGATATATTACACAGAAAGACTTCATTTTTGAATAAGTGTCTCACAAAACCATGACCAGAAGAGGAAACAAAATGTAGAATTTATTGCCCCACAGACTGTCACCTCAGATTCTCCAATTAACCAAACTCAGTTCAGGCTCTTCTTAGCTCTTTTTCAACCAGGCCTCACTTTGGGCTTCTGTGTTCATCTCTGCATTGTCCAGTTTTAGCAAGAATCCTCCTAAGTCAGTTTAGCCATCCTCAGTGACTGATCACCCTGGACATCAGGTTCCTCAGTCCCCATCACAGCCCAGGTGAGGCCTGCCTTCAGCAAGAGCCCTGTTAGGTTCATTGAGCCCGAATTCCTTACATCAGACGTTTCCTCTCGGTGAATTTTCTATCCATTGACTCCCTCCCTACTCCTTGGCTATAAATTCTCACTTGTCCATGCTGTATTCAGAATTGAGTGTACTTTTGTACTGAGGCCTCTTTCCCCTATTGCAACAGTCCTAAATAAAATGTTCTTACTGCTTTAAGGTGCAGCAAATACTTGTTGAATGAATGAATGAATGAATGAATGAATGAGTGAATGAATAAATGTATGATAATGATAACACAAGTTAATTAACATTTAAAATGCCCTTAATGGGGCTCTTGGGTGGCTCAGTTGGTTAAGTATCTGACTCTTAATTTTGGCTCAGGTCATGATCTCACAGTTCAGGAGTTTGAGACCCACATCAGGCTCTGTGGTGATAGTATGGAGCCTGCTTGGGATTCTCTCTCTCTCTCTCTCTCTCTCTCTCTCTCTCTCTCTCTCTCTCTCTGCCCCTCCTCCACTCATGTGCACACATGCGTGCGTGCTCTGTCTCTAAAAATAAATAAATAAAGGTAAAAAAGTTAAAAAACATTCAATCAAAGGTAGGCCCATGTGAAAAGCCATTTGTGATTTTCAGTCACGTGTTACTCCAGGGTCACAGGAATAAGTATGAAGAGGCTATTCCTATACAAACAGTGTCTTACAACAGAATGGGCAGGAAGGGAAGCCACGCTGACAAGACAGGGTCTAGCCAGGCACGGTGTCCCGCCCACAAGAGATTGAGAGACGGATGGAAAGACTTCTAGAAGATGGAAAGACTTCTTTCCATTATGGACTGAGTGTGTCCTCCTCCCAAATTCTTTTGCTGAACTCCTAACCCCCAACAGGATGGCATTCAGAGATGAGGCCATTGGGAGGTAAGTGGGTCATGAGGGCAACCCCCTCACGAATGGGATCGGTGCCTCATAAAATGGGTGTCCGTCCTCCCACCATGTGAGGACACAGTGAGAAAACAGCTGTCTATGAACCAGGAAGCAGGCTCTCTCACAAGTCTATTGCCACCTGATCTTGGACTTCCCAGCTTTCAGAACTGTGAAAAACAGGTATCTGTTGTCTAGGCCTCCCTGTCTGTGGTATTCTGTTACAGCAGCCCAGACAGACTAAGATGCTTTCCTGATAAGACAAGGTAAACAAGATGCTTACATAGTCAACAGGAATTACCTGCTTCAAAATGAAGGTATTTTTAAAATAAGCCAAGTACGCAGGTCAAAGGGAAAGGTCACCCTCTTCTAATAGAAATATGTCAGCAATTACTTAATTTACACAAGGTGTCACTTAGGCTAATGCTCAGCTGCTTCCTGACGAGTGAGGAATTGGTGAAAGTCCCTGCATTTTCCTTTATTCGTATCACTTGTTTATAATATTCAATTGCTTGCTTCCTTTGGCATCTAGAAAAGAAAAATTTAATTAAAGGTTTGCATTCATTCATTCATTCATTCATTCATTCAACAAACATTCAGGGCTGGGGCTCAAAGATGAGTAAAACTAATCCGTGTCTCAGAGAACTTCCTAAGGTAGGAGCAGAGGCTGAAGAGTGAAACAAAGGACCGGCCACTCATGAAGGGCACTAAGTGCAAACCTAAGGGTTCGGGGCTTTCGTGGTGCAAAATCTCCATTAAGAGTATGATGTGATCTAACATGCATTGTAGAAACTTCCCCTGGATGGACAATGTGGAGGAGAGACTGCAGCAGGTAAGGCTACAGTCAGGGAGGCCAGTCACTCCAAGGGAAGAATGAGGGTCTGAGGTGATGCAGTGACCCCCAGACGAAAAAGGAGATCCACTGCACCTGGGCGTTACAGTGAATGTTGTGGCCCTGGTGCTGGGATCATTGGGGCATCGCCCAGTAGAGTGACGTGGTTAGAACCTGAGCTCTCAAGTTAGACAGGCCTGGTAGTGACATGGAGGTTAGTTAGGCATAGAGCTCTGCAATCAGACTGCCTGGGTGGTAATCCTGGCTCGACCACTTAAAGCTGGGCAAGCATCCTAATCTTCTGAACCTCAGCTTTCTCACCTTCAAGATGAGCTCAACAGAACTGTTTTGAGGATTTGACGAGAAAACGCATGCAGTCTTTAGTATAGTGACTGATCATAAATACGATCAAGATGACCCCGTGGTGTCTGCACCGGGTGAAACAGAAGACGCGTTTCATCAGGAAGAGAGGGTGGACGTGTTCAGTCTTGAGAATGTGGACTCGGAAATGCCCAAATACTTTGGAATACTCAAGTGGAGACACCCAATAGATGATAGGTCTAAGAGGAACATGACGGCAGGCGGTCAGCACCTTATGGCTGAAGCTCTAGGCACAGGTGAGGTTGGGGGGCTAAAATTGAGACCAGCGTCCAAGCACAGCATCCATGAACTGAACCCAAGGGAGCACCATCATTTGAACAAGAGTCAGTGAGAGAAAGAGGAAACCCACAAAAGAACTGAGAAGGGATCATCAGAGAAGAGATCCAGGAGGGAGGGTATCTCAGGCACCAGGAGAGAGTTGTTTCCGGAAGGGAGTCATCAGCACAGTTCTTACCTCAGCATGAGAAGGCCAACAAGATCAAAAAGTACAAAGGGACACATGTAACATGTTCCTGATGACATTCACTGGAGTAGAGAAAATGGAGCTGGATGGAGGTAGACGTTCAAAGACAGTGAATGGGAAGTCAGGAAGAAACTTGACCTTGAAAAGGTGACTGATGAAAGGGTAGCTGCTGATGAGTGGATACAAAGTCAAGAAAGAGTAGATGACATTTATTTTACTGAGAACATTTACTGTTCCTCTTAAGACAGCTTATTCACTCTTCTCTGTCCTGTTGCTTTTAATTTAACCTCCTTTTTCCAGCCCTCCCCACCCCCATGCTGCAAGGCCCTCAGGATCCCACGGATCATTTCTGTAGTGCATGAGCGCTGTCTCGAGGGCACCTGGCCACCGGGACAAAGGATCTACACATGTGTGAGAGGGGAGGCGAGTCGCACAGCAAAATATCTCCTGGTCTTAACTAACGCTAAGAAAGATGTGGTCACCTAAGGACAACCTTCCACAAGGAAAAAGGCTTCCTGTTATTCCAGAAGGTTGATCGTTGCTAATGAGACCTGGGCAAAAGGCATCCAAGTATGGTCAGGCTGTCTGCCGCAGAGGCCCCCCTGTGGAACGGACTAGCAACATTAAGCGTCTGTGATTCACACCCCACCCGCTGTGGACTTGTGATGGGGCAGCCCCAGGCAGCATGGATGACTCAGTCAGTATGCTAGTGTTTAGATTTTTCTTTTGCAAGGCATTGGTTTCACTGTCAAGCTGTTTGCTTCTCTAAAGAAAGGCCTGTCTCTGTTCACAGGTGCGGGTCTTAAGGGGGAACGAAAGGAGGCTTATCTGGTATCCGGCACCTAAACAATTACCTGATGCGGAGCAAAATAACAATACTAAGAACCCCATTCAATGAGCCCTTTTGGAATGTGCCAGGCTTTCTGCTAAGCACTTCCCAGATGGGATCTCTTAGTCCTCACAGTCACCCTGTGAGGAAGACACTATCCTCACTCTCATTTTACCAACGAGGAAATGAATGGGACAGCACCTGTAAAGTTAACCCTAACTACGTGCTTATTTGGGCTACGCTTTTGAAGGTCAATACTCCAAAAAAGACTAAGTGCCCATTGGCAACCTCTCATCCCTCCTGGGAGCAAAAGTGGGAAGAGGTTGCCTGCCTGGGGAGAGGTAAGACGGAGAACAGAGAGCGGAGGGACAGAAACTATGAAAACTCCACAACTTTGTAATATAGCCTAGAGCATCTCCAGCCTTCTGGTTGGCTGACTCGGCTCTGAGAGGGTGTGAGCCAGAGCCAAAGGAAGGGTGGGGTGTATCAGCGTCTGGACTCACACAGAACCTTCTCTCACACCCATCTGTCGAGAGAAGTGGTAGATGCTAACCCGGCAGATGCTAACGCTGATTCCACCCATAGGATGACACCTATACCCCTCTCCCAAACACAGGAACTGACAAAGAATCTCTCCTTGACCAAACTCCGCTCATGGCCTTCTCACTCTTTCTCAAACAGGCCTTAACTTTTGGATGTCTGTGTTCATTTCTGCACCGTCCAACTTTAGCAAGAATCCTGATAAGTCCGTTTAAAGAGGACTCCCCGCCCCCTGGTGTCTGATCACTGTCAAAACCGGGTTCCTCATTCCCCATCATACCCCAGGTGAGGCCTGATCATGCCAGCCTGCTTTCAGCAAGCATCCTGTTAGGTCGGGGGCACCTGGGTGGCTCAGTCGGTTGAGCGTCTGACTTCAGCTCAGGTCATGATCTCACGGTTCGTGAGTTCAAGCCCCACAGGACTCATTGCTGTCAGTGCACAGCCTGCTTGGGATCCTCTGTCCCCCTCTCTCTCTGCCCCTCCCCCACTTTTGCTCTCTCCCAAATATAAATAAACATTAAAGAAATTTAAGAAAACATTAAAAAAAAAAATAAGGAATCCCCTTAGGTCCATTGAGCTTGAATCCTCCTCACCCCCGATGTTTCTTCTCAGCAATTTTCCATCCACCAATCCCCCCCACACACAACTTCTCTTTGTACTGGGGGTTGTGTCCAATCTCTCCGCCTGCAAAACCTCACTGCAGGACCTGAAAAAAAGTCCACCTTATCTTTCTTTAACAAGTGTTACTGAGACAGGAAAAGCAAAGGGACTCCATGAGAGAAAAAGTTGGTTTTTTTTTCCTTCTTTTCTGGCTTTTATTCTTGCTAGGACCTGCACCCCTACCCACTCTACACATGCCTCGGAAGGCAAAGAGCATATGTCCTCCTTGCCAGGGACAAGGAATTACTGATTTCTCAGGAATAGATAACATCTAAGGACAGGCCGGGCGAGAATGACCAGAAGAAGCCATCACGGGTACTCCAGACCACCAGCGCTAGACATCTCCACGCCAAGGACCCCTGGCTCCAAGAACTAACACCTGGGCCCTCATCTTTGATCTAGCTGGTTCCTGGATGCCTGAGGGGACACTTACACCAGACCGCCATCCTCAGTAAAAACTCCCAGACCCCAAGCAAAAACGAGACTCGTGCTCTTTTCCTTTCCGAGTCTCCTGGACACCCCATCTATCTGTCTGTCTGTCTGTCTCTCTCTCTGTCTCTCTCTCTCTCTCTCTCTCTCTCTCTCTATATATATATATATATATATTTTTTTTTTTTTTCAGTAAACTATGCTTTCACCTCCTGCTGGCTCACGTTTGATTTCCATCCTGCCTGAAGCCAAGGACCCCTTAGCTGGTCTCACAGTACCCTGCTCTGGGTCCCTGGGCCAGACCTGCCCTACATCATTATGAACAGTTTTTTCTCTAACAGCCTTAACTATGCCTTGTGTGGGGAGCAGAAGGAAAGCCCCAAGCGTCACAGGAGAGGAACTCGGGACTTCCCGAGCGAGGAGAGGAGAAGGAAAACACAGAGGGAAAGCCTGGGTCTTCCAGGAGGAGACCCATGGGGTGTGGCCCCACAGACAATGGAGCTGAGACCTGCACAGAGTCAGGATACAAATACAGTAATACAGTTAACCCTTGAACCACGCTGTTGGCGGGGGGGGGGGGGGGGGCGGGGCGGTGGAGAGGGACACCAACCCCTGTGCAACTGAAAATGTGCATATCTTTTGACTCCCCAAAACTTTAATAGTAACACTTACAGTGTTACTTACAGTGTTAAGTAAGTGTTACTGATAACATAAGCAGTCAATTAGTACAGACTTGTATATCATACGTATTGTATATACTGTACTCTTACAATGAAATAAGCTAGGGAAAAGAAAATGTTATGAGGAAAATCATAAGGAAGAAAAAAATGCATTTACAGTCCTGTACCATATTTATTTTTTTTAAATCCATATATAAGTGGATCCACACAGTTCACCCCTGTGTGGTTTGAGGGTCGGCTGTACATCTTCCTCACAAGGCCTGGGAGTGATTCAGGGAAACACAACAACATCACACTCCTTTGTATTTTTCCTACTGCAAAAACTTCTACACAATTCGTGGGCCAAGAGGTCCTTTCAAATACATTACAGTCAGTGTCCTGACAGACAGGGACAGAACTCTCAGGTTTCTGAACAAGGCTGCAGTCAGAGAAGTGAGGCACCCTCGATGGGTCAACCCCAGACCTCCCAGCCACTGGTATTTTGGTGGGGGGCGGCGGGGGGAAGAGAAGACACGCTACTTGGAACATTTGGTATAAACTTACCTTTCACTCTCTTCCGGTAGAAAAGATAGTAAATCTGCTAAAAATTCCATAATTTCTCCAACTAGGATATTTTTCTCACCAAACTTCTCCTGATATTTAAGCATTCTTGAAGTCTCATTTTTGCAAGAGACGTGTCTCCAGCAGCAAATCTGAGAATAAAATGCATGTGTGTCTTCACTGGGTACGATATTATTGGCTACTTCATTGTACTATCAAAGGTAATTCTTACAAACATCTTTTATTTTATACAGAAAGAAACAGAACAGCAGAGCAGTTTCTAATATAGAGATTCAAGACCTTCACAGTGACTTATAAGGAGATAAGTGAATATCTTATAAGAAACTAGACACTATTCTCAACCCGATCACTATCGACACTTGGGCTAGGTACTATGTTGCTGTCTTGTGTATTGTATAATGTGTAGCATCATCCTGGCCTCTACCCACTAGGTGTCAGTAAGAACCCCTCCAAATGCCTCCAGACATTACCAGAGGTGCCCCGAGGAGCAAAGTCACCCCTGGTTGAGAACCACAGAAGCAGAGGATAGAAATGCTAACATTCCGCATTTCTTCACCCAGTTAGATGGAAAATGGATTAACAAGTGTGGCTTAAAAATCTTAATCTTGGGGCACCTGGGTGGTTCAGTTGGTTAAGAGGCCGACTCTTGATTGCAGCTCAGGTCATGATCTCACGGTTCGTGAGTTCAAGCCACACATCGGGCTCTGTGCTGACAGCGTGGAGCCTGCTTCAGATCCTCTGTCTTCCTCTCTCTGCCCCTCCCCGACTCAGGCTACATTCTTTCTCTCAAAAACAAATAAATGTTAAAAAATATATATATATTAATCTTAACAATAAAAACTAGTACAGAAAACAATAATTTTTCAAGAAAAAAATTCATGTTTATATCAGAACACCTTTGGTGTATTTCATGGTAGCCTGGTCACAGGGGTTGTTGTCCAAAAAGCTGGAAGTTTCAGTAGCACATTCCAAAATATGATTTTCTTTTAAGTACTTTTCACTTGCTGACTTTACCAGGTTGTTCAGCACTCTGCCTGCAGAGAATACATTTTGGCAAAGAAGATGATGCTTAAGGTTTGTTTGTTCTACAAAAGAGTTAAGATGTCAAGAGGCAGAGCATTTAACATCATTTCTTCATCACTGCCAATAGCCAGGATTTTCTTAATAAATCAGTTCCTGGCCTACATTGCACAGGGCTTGGTTTTCATACAACGAATTTGTGTGTGCACAGCAATTACAAGGCTGAAGAGCTAAGACAACAGATTAGAACCAAATTCTGAGACCGTTTTGCAAATGAATAGATCAGAAATTAAGTAAGAATATGGATCATCACTGTGGTAGCCAAGTCCTACAGAAGGTAGCCAGCACAGTCTTGCAGTAATAATAAAATGATAAAGCTTACAACAAGAAGCACATGAATTAGCCCTATAAATCCAACTAAGAAATCATGAGCTATCCCTAGATACACACTGCCTTGGGGATGTACCTTCTTCAAAGGCCCAGCATCTTGCTCCTTTATTGAGAGTTATATATTCTGACACTAATACAGAGTCCTAAAATGCAGAAAGGATTTTCTAAGCCCTACTTTGTTAGGAAGAGAAAAAGCCCCAACAATGTTCCCAGAAGGCATTAGTCCAGCATTGGTGGCAATAAAGAAAACCAGACTTAACTCCCTGTGCTACGGAATTCAGTTGTGATTATAGAGGATTACCATGAAACTGTCAAGAGGCATCTTTCCCATCATCAGTGGGACCACATTCACTGCCCCACCCCCACCTCACCCAGTGCCTCACGTCTTTCACTTGGGCATCAGGGAGGGATAGAGCCATGTACCCAATCTCCCAATGTCCCCTCTCACCCGCATGTAGTCCATTCTCCACACCGCAGCAAAAGTGGTCTCAAAACAGAAATCGGATGATGCCATCCCCAGCCTAACTCTCTGTAACGGCTTCCCCCTCACTGAGAATAAAATCCAAATGCTTGCCCAAGGCCCGACACAATTCGGGCCCAGCTGCCTCCTGCCCTTTGCTCAGGGAGGCTCTTCCCACAGCTAGCACAGGCCAAGCCCCTTCCCACCCCAGGGCTCTGCACATGCTGTCTCCTTTGCCAGGACCACATGTCTCAGCTTAAATGCCCTCTTGACCCTTCAGAGGCAGACCCTCCCTCTGCTTAAGCTCTCTACCTAGGGCTCCTCTGTGTCTTCCATTGTATTTATTCCAACCTGCAATCATTGTGTGTTACCTGTCATCTCCATTAGAGGGCAGTGTTGGTGACTGTCCTGTTCACTGTGCTGGGTTCAGCAGAGCCCTGGGTGCATCGCAGGTGCTCAGTACACAGTTCTTGAATGTATGAGCTCTGGCCAGGCTGGAATCCTTGCCCCTCTCCCTTTATCTGCTCTCTTGGGCCCTGAATCCCGGCTTGACTCTTGTCAGAAGCCTGGAGCTATGGTGGGTCCCCATCAAAGTTGCTGATAAGGACAATGATCTACCCCCAAGCATCTCTTTTCAGTGGGACCCCACCCCTCCTGCTGGTTTGACCTCCTTGGGGAAACACGCTTGTCTACCCCATGCCAAGGTCTGCTCAATTCCTTGGAGCTCTGTACTTTGAACTGCCCAGCTGGCTTTGGAGGGCCAGTCCCAGAACCCACCTAAGTGCCCCTGGTTCCCTCCCTGGTATCCTCTGGTCACCAAGGTCCTACCATGCCTGTAACCAGTCCTGCCTGCATGAGGGTGCCTCAGAAGCTATACTCTGTATATCAAGGATTATAGCTTCATACACGTCAATGCTAGAAGAGATTCTGTATAGTGAGGAGTTATTGCAGACAGACTTTAGGATCAGACAGGCCTAGCTTGAACTCCCAGCTCCAAATCTGCTGGCTGTGGGAGCTGAAGTAGTTTAAATTATTCTATGTTTCTGACCTTCAGTTCCCTCCTCTATAAAATGGGGATAGCAATACATACCACATCAGGTATATTTGAAGACAAAAGATCATGAGCATAAAGTGTCATACATAACAAGCATTCAACAAATGAGAACTATTACTATCAAAGTGGATTTATAGATGAGATCTAGTGAGGAGAAGTGGCTTGCCCAAGGTGACCTTGGATCTTCTAGCCATGGTGGTAGATTGCAAAAACAGCTGTAACCCCCCATGCCAACCCGTACTGATTCCCCTTTGCAATGTCACTCTCCTCCACCAAGAGGTGGAGTCTCTCCCCCACTCACAGCAATGGACAGATCATCTAATCAAAAAATCAACAAGGAAACAATGGCTTTGAATGACACAATGGACCAGGTGGACTTAACAGGTATATTTAGAACATTTCATCCTAAAGCAGCAGAATATACATTCTTCTCCAGTGCACATGGAATGTTCTCCAGAATAGACCATATACTTGGACACAATTTGGCCCTCAGCAAGTACAAAAAATCGAGATCATACCGTGCATATTTTAAGACCACAACACTATGAAACTCGAAATCAACCACAAGAAAAAAATTGGAAAGGTAACAAATACTTGGAGACTGGAGAACATCCTATGAAAGAATGAATGGGCTAACCAAGCAGTTAAAGAGGAAATTAAGAAGTATATGGAAGTCAATGAAAATGATAACACCACAACCCAAAACCTCTGGGATGCAGCAAAGGCGGTCATAAGAGGAAAGCATATAGGAATCCAGGCCTTCCTAAAAAAGGAAGAAAGATCTCAGATACACAACCTAACTTTATGCCTTAAGGAGCTGGAAAAAAGAACAGGAAATAAAACCCAAAACCAGCAGAAGACAGGAAATAATAAAGATTAGAGCAGAAATTATGATATAGAAAACAAACAAACAAACAAACAAAAACCAGTAGAACAGATCAATGAAACCAGAAGCTGGTTCTTCGAAAGAATTAACAAAATTGATAAACCACTAGCCAGTTTGATCAAAAAGAAAAAGGAAAGGACCCAAATAAATAAAATCAAGAATGAAAGAGGAGAGATCACAACCAACACAACAGAAATAAAAACAATAATAAGAGAATATTATGAACAATTATATGCCAATAAAATGGGCAATCTCAGGGGTGCCTGGGTGGCGCAGTCGGTTAAGCGTCCGACTTCAGCCAGGTCACGATCTCGCGGTCCGTGAGTTCGAGCCCCGCGTCGGGCTCTGGGCTGATGGCTCAGAGCCTGGAGCCTGTTTCTGATTCTGTGTCTTCCTCTCTCTCTGCCCCTCCCCCGTTCATGCTCTGTCTCTCTCTGTCCCAAAAAAATAAATAAACGTTAAAAAAAAAATAAAATGGGCAATCTGGAAGAAATGGACAAATTCCTAGAAACATATACACTACCAAAACTGAAACAGGAAGAAATAGAAAATTCGAACAGACCCATAACCAGTAAAGAAATCGAATTAGTAATCAAAAATCTGCCAAAAAACAAGAGTCCAGGGCCAGATGACTTTCCAGAGGAATTCTACCAAACACTTAAGGAAGAAGTAACACCTATTCTCTTGAAGCTGTACCAAAAAATAGAAATGGAAGGAAAACTTCCAAACTCTTTCTATGAGGCCAGCATTACCTTGATTCCAAAACCAGACAGAGACCCCACTAAACAGGTGAACGATAGACCAATTTCCCTGATGAACATGGATGCAAAAATCCTCAACAAGATATTAGCCAACCGGATCCAACAATACATTAATAAAATTATTCACCACGACCAAGTGGGATTTATACTTGGGATACAGGGCTGGTTCAATATCTGCAAAACAATTAACGTGATTCATCACATCAATAAAAGAAAGGACAAGAACCATATGATCCTCTCAATAGATGCAGAGAAAGCATTTGACAAAATATAGCATCCTTTCTTGATAAAAACCCTCAAGAAAGTAGGGATAGAAGGATCATACCTCAAGATCATAAAAGCCATATATGAACGACCCAATGCTAACATCATCCTTAATGGGCCAGAAAAGACCCCGAATAGTCAAAGCAATTTTGAAAAAGAAAACCAAAGCAGGAGGCATCTCAATCCCAGACTTCAAGCTGTATTACAAAGCTGTAATCATCAAGACAGTATGGCAGTGGTACAAAAACAGACACTCAGATCAATGGAACAGAATAGAGAACCCAGAAATGGACCCACAAACATTAGTGGCCATCTAATCTTTGACAAAGCAGTAAAGAATATCCAATGGAATAAAGACAATCTCTTCAGCAAGTGGTGCTGGGAAAACTGGACAGCGACATGCAGAGGAATGAACCTGGATCACTTTCTTACACAATTCACAAAAATAAACTCAAAGTGGATGAAAGACCTCAATGTAAGACAGGAAGCCATCAAAATCCTCAAGGATAAAGCAGGAAAAAACCTCTTTGATCTTGGCCGCAGCAACTTCTTACTCAACACGTCTCCAGAGGCAAGGGAAACAAAAGCAAAAATGAACTACTGGGACCTCATCAAAATAAAAAGTTTCTGCACAGCGAAGGAAAACAATCAGCAAAACTAAAAGGCAACCGACAGAATGGGAGAAGATATTTGCAAACGACATATCAGATAAAGGGTTAGTATCCAAAACCTATAAAGAACTTATCAAACTCAACACCCAAAAAACAAATAATCCAATGAAGAAATGGGCAAACGACATGAATAGACACTTCTCCAAAGAATAAATTCAGATGGCCAACCGACACATGAAAAAATGCTCAACTTCACTCATCATCAGGGAAATACAAATCAAAACCACAATGAGATACCACTTGACCCCTGTCAGAATGGCTAACATTAACAACTCAGGCAACAACAGATGTTGGCGAGGATGCGGAGAAAGAGGATCTCTTTTGCATTGTTGGTGGGAATGCAAGCTGGTGCAGCCACTCTGGAAAACAGTATGGAGGTTCCTCAAAAAATTAAAAATAGAACTACCCTACAACCCAGAAATTTCACTACTAGGTATTTATCCAAGGGATACAGGTGTGCTGTTTCGAAGGGACACATGCACCCCCATGTTTATAGCAGCACTATCAACAATGGCCAAAGTATGGAAAGAGCCCGAATGCCCATCGATGGATGAATGGATAAAGAACATGTGGTATATATAGACAATGGGGTATTACTCGGCAATCAAAAATAATGAAATCTTGCCATTTGCAACTCCATGGATGGAACTAGAGGGTATTATGCTAAGCGAAATTAGTCAATCAGAGAAAGACAAATATCATATGACTTCACTCATATGAGGACTTTAAGAGACAAAACAGATGAACATAGGGGAAGGGAAATAAAAATAATATAAAAACAGGGAAGGGGACCAAACATAAGAGACTCTTAAATATGGAGAACAAACAGAGGGTTACTGGAGGGGGTGTGGGAGGGGGAATGGGCTAAATGGGTAAGGGGCACTAAGGAATCTACTCCTGAAATCATTGTTGCACTATAAGCTAACTAACTTGGATGTAAATTCAATAAATTATATGAAAAATTAAAAATTTTTAAATTAAAAAAATAAAAAAATAAAGCGATTTCCCACTTTACCTGCACTAACATGTTCTCGACAGTCAAGAATAATCCTTCTGCTTCATTGATCTTGCCCATAAGCTTCAGAAATTTCGCAATAAAGAACATTAATCGGCATTTGTCCATGGTGGGTAACCTCAAACAGCCTGCATTCCAGCACTAGAATGGAAAGAAAGGTAAATAAACCTAAAGCATATTCAGAAAGGAACAAAGAGCATCCAATACTTAATCTTGACACAGGAGTTAAACACATTATCCACACTTCAGTATTTCTCTCTCAAGGGATTAGCTCTTTGCTTTTATTAATGTTTACATATATTACCAAGTATTTCAAACAATGACATAAACAACAACTCTAATGCTTTTAAATGATCTTTTGATATGTAAAATTTGAAAACCAGAGAGTCAAAGAGTATTTCTATAGTGCAGTCTATATAAGGCTGCAATTTGAACTTGGGGGGCATTGTCAGGCAAGAATAAAAAGGTGTTTAAATTACTTACACAATTCTGCCCTCTGTTGTAACTATCTTGAATTACTGGCTTTGACAGAAAGAACAAAATGTTAAAAGGACCAAATAAGGAACATATTGTGTGTGTGTGTGTGTGTGTGTGTGTGTGTTATATCCTATTATATACAAATGAAAATACACAGAATTTTTTAACTTGAAGATTCAGTTAAATACATGGTACTACAAAGTCATCATTTTCATAATTTTTCTTCCCAAACATCCCAGTATATGAACTTATACATTTGACGACTGTTTCATTTCAAATTATTGTATCTAATCTGCTGGACAAAAATATATTCCTTGTTCTTCATCTGTTCCATCGCTCACGCCGTAGGCCACCCAGACAATGAATGCACTCCTGTTTTCCTTCTGCCAACTTCTCCAGGGATCACCATTTGTGCACAGTACAAACATTTATTGAACATCTACTATGTGTCAGACAATATCCTAGGCTCCCAACAAAAAGCATTGCAGCCCTCAGCACCACAGAGAGGCCAGGAGGCTTTGAACCAAAGCTGTAGTGCTTCGAGTCCAAGAGCTAAAATTAAATCAGAGTCAAGGGAAAGAGACAAGACTCTCGGCCACAGTGGCCATCCAAGCAAACGGACCTAAGGTGGGTATGAGAACTGGTGGGTCAAGCCAAGTGACAAAGGAATCTAAGAATTGTAAGTAGCTGCTTAGAGCAGCCGAGGGTGGTCTGGACAAATTGCTGAGGGATGGGCCCTTGCCCAGGGCCGGCGTGGTCTTGCAAATTCTATGAGGATTACCAGGTCCAGCCCACCTGTCAAGGGCTGAGGTGGGAATGGACTATGTTCATTCACTATGTTCCACACTCAATTCAACAATCTCAGTGCTCCGACAAGTCTTCATTCATGAGCCTTTCCTGCCACTGACCACATCCTCATGTTCATTTACTTAGCACAAACATATAGTTGGGATAGATAAGAAAATAACTTTTCTCACTATAAAACTAGTATGTGTACATTATAGGAAAATTGAGAAATATAGAAAAGTACAAAGAAGAAATCACTCATAATTGCATTATTCAAAGATAATCTGCATTAACATATTGTTGTATGTACCTCTGATCTTTTGCATGTATCCAAACACATTTTTTTAATGTTTATTTTTGAGAGAGAGAGAGAGAGAGAGCACACGAACGGAGAGGGGCAGAGACAGGTGGGGGGACAAAGGCTCCAAAGAGGGCTCTGCACTGACAGCAGAGAGCCCGATATGAGGCTCAAACTCATGAACCTCAAGATCATGACCTGAGCTGAACTGAGCCACCCAGATGCTCCATACACATTTTTTAAAAATAAACTTGAGGGGCACCTGGGTGGCTCAGTTGGTTACGCATCCGACTCTTGATTTCAGCTAAGGTCATATCTCACAGTTGTGGGATCAAACCCTGTTTCGGGCTCAGAGCAGGTCTCAGAGCCTGCTTGGGATTCTCTCTCTCTCTCTCTCTCTCTCTCTCTCTCTCTCTGCCCCTCTATTGCTTGTGCTCTCTCTGTCTCTCAAAATAAATAAACTTATTTATAAACTCTCTCAAAAAAAAAAATTAACTTGAGATCATCCTATACATTATGCGCTTTTTTTAAGTTAATGGTCCCTTCCTGGGGCCCCGCGGGGGGGTGCGACTAACATTTACAGCTTGGAATGGGCGTAAAGTTTAACTGCCTGAATAGCAGTGTTGATGGTTGCACTGGAATCCACAGCCACAGCCTCCTCTGCTGGCTCCAAGCCATGGTTTCAGACGGATTTAAAAATGGAGTATAATGATGCCCCCCGCCGCCGCGGTAAAGTTTTCTTTTTAAAATTTTGTGTGAATGGTGACAGCCCCACATCCATTTCGCTCTAGTAAAATGCGATCAACGTTACCATCACATGTGGCATGCCAGCGGGACGTGCGTCATCCTCAACATGGTTCTGGACACACCAAGTATAAGAAAGCCATCCTGCTAAGTGGGGCTACATCCAGACAGTTTATCCTTCATACAAATGAATATAAATTCAAACCATGAAAAGAACCATGAAAGAGATGGTGATATGAACTACGGGACGTTTCTCCATAGAAATGACAATTGAGCTGAGAGTTTAAAAAAGAATAGAAGCTGTTGCAGCAAAATGAGGGAGGGAGGGTGTAAAAATTCTGGGCAGAGGAAGAGCACAATGCAAAGGCTCTAGGGCAGGAAAAAGCAAGGTGCTTAGGGGACTGAAGAGCAGAGAGACCGAGCTGTTTGGTTCAGGATCAGGGTGGAGACATAGGAAGGGGCCATTCAGTAGCCACACCACGCCCGGTGCTGCTGCGGGTGCCAGGAACACAGCAGTGAACGCAAGAGGCAGAGTCCTCCTTTCGTGGAGCTTACATCCCAGCAGCTGGGAGGGTCAGAGAGGAGAGGGCAGCAGGGAGCAGAGACAGACAATAAAAAATTAATTAATTAATTTAAAAACAAAAAGGAAACTAGACAAAGTCAGGTAGCAGTAAAAGCTATGCCAAGAATTAAAACCCACTGACAAGATAGAGAATGACTAGGTATAACATCAGATGGGGTAGGCCACTCTGAGAAAGTGACACTTTGGCTGAGATCTAAATAACCAGAAAGAACTGGTACTACAAAAATATGAGTGGGAAGAACATTCCTCGCAGAGGCAACAGCTGGTGCCAAGGCCAAAAGGCAGAATGTACTCGAAGGACAGAAAGAAGGCCAGAGTGGCTGGCATCTAGAGGCCAAAAGGAAGATTCTTATAAGATGACGCTACCTAGGCATGTCGGGGGTAGATTATACAAACGATTATAAATTAAACTGAGGAGTTCAGATTTTAGTATCGGTGCAGCAGCAGGTCTCTGGAATGATCTTAACATGGAAAGTGACATGATCTGGTTTATATTCCTAAAAGCTCATTCTGGCTACTAAACAGAAATGGAACTTTTTTGGAACAAAAATGAAAGTAGGAGGACTAGTTAGGAGGCCATTACGATAGGCCAGGTGAGAGGTGATGGTGGCTGGTGAGCCACTGATGGCAGTAAAAAGCTGAGGTTAGGATATCCCCTCTCACCACTCCTACTGAATGATACTGGGAGTCCCAGCTAGTGCAATAAGACAAGAAAAGGAAATAAAAGATATACATGTTGGGAAGGAAGAAATAAAACTGATTTTGTTCACAAATGATAGACCTGTCTGTGTAGAAAATCCCAAAGAATCAACAAAAAACTCATAGAACTGGTAAGTGATTATAACAAGGTTGCAGGATACAAGGTTAATATACAAAAGCCAACTGCTTTCCTATAGACCAGCAATGAACAATTGGAATTAGAAATTTAAAACACAATACCACTTATAATAGTACCCCATAAATGAGAAACTTAGGCCTAAATCTAACAGAATATGTACTTGATCTATATGCAGAGAACCACAAAATTCTGATAAAGGATATCAAAGAAGATCTAAATAAACTGAGAGAGATTCTATGTTGATGGACTGGAAGACTCAACATTGTTAAGATGCTTGACTTATAAATTCAATACAATACCAATACATCTTCTCTAGATGTCTAACTGATCTTTGACAAAGTAGCAAAGACAATTCAATGGAAGAAGTCTTAATTAACAAGTTGTTCTGGGACAACTGAACATCCGTATAAAAAAAATTAATCTAGACAGAGATATTACACCTTTCGCAAAACACATAGTCAAAATGGATCATAGCCTTAAATATAAAATGAAATACTACAAAAGTTTTAGAAGGAAACAGAAAAAAAAAACCTATGTGACCTTGGTTTTGGTCATGATTTATTAAATACACCACAAAAAGCATAACCCATGAAAGAAAATACTGATTAAGTTAGACCTTATTAACATTCAAAACTTGGTGGAGTGCCTGGGTGGCTCAGTCAGTTAAATGTCCCACATTTGATTTTAGCTCAGGTCATGTTCTCATGATGGTAAGATCTAGCCCTGCATCAGTCTCCACCCTGGGTGTGGAGCCTGCTTAGGAGTCTCTCTCTCCCTCTCCATCTGCCCCTCCCTTGCTCGCATGCGTGCACACACACTTGCACTCTCTCGCTCTCTCACTCTCAAAACTATATATATATATATATATATATATATATCCATCAGTGATAAGAAGTAAAGTCAGACAAGAACTAAAAATGTTCTTTGCATGGCCTGCTCAAGATCTTGCCTATTTTTATTGAAGGGTTCATTATTTTATTTAAGAGCATTTTACTTATTAAAAGTATTAATCTTTTGCCTGCCATGTATGTCACAAATATTTTTGCCAGTTATCACTAGTCTTATAATTGTGTTTTTAATTTTCTGAGTTGTGTTGTTTTGTTTTGATTTACATGTTGTAATTTCATTTATTTAGACACATTTATCGACTGTCTTCTTTGTGATTTACTCTTTTGCTTTCTTGCTTAGACGCCAACATTTTCTTATAGTTTTTTTTTTAACATAAAATTTCATTAATTTATATTTAACTCTAATCTTCTTGGGATTTATTTTGGTGTAATGGCTCAGGTAACTTAACTTCTTACCAAGTAGTGAACCATTATCACAGCACTATTTATTCAATTTATTCCATAATCTTTCTAATTTGAAAAGTTTCTATCACTTACTACTTTTTTATATCCATACCTGAGTCCGTACCTGAGCTTTCTATTTTGTTCCACTGAGCTGTTTATTTTTGCTCCCAGTAGCATTTTTAAAGTTAATACAGCTTCATAATATGTTTAAATAAGTTGACATTCAAATTGCCCTCATTATTTTAAACTCTTACTCTCACATATCTTCTTCTCCAAGAACTTTAAAATCATTTTGAAAATTTAGAAATGTTTTAATCCCATTGGGATTTCAATTAGAATTGTCTTATGTACATAAATCAATTGTGGAAGAACCGACAGCTTTACAATATTGAGTTGCTCTATCCAAGAATATGGTATGTCTCCCTATATACTAAAATTTTATTTTCTATAATTCTGAAACAGTTTTATAAAAATAAAGATCCACACATTTCTTGTTACATTTATTTGTAGATATTTCATATCTCCTGTGGCTACTGTAAATTGTCTTTTGTTCTTTTTATTTTTCTGTTGAGCTATTTTTTAAATTATTTGTAATAAATGATTTGTTCCATCTAAAATATTTAGAAGTTTCCAAAAGTATCAGAGGGCAAAACATCATACATTACTCATGAAAAGCTGATATTGTCCCATTTACTACAACCTTCTGACAAGATCCTGCACTGTGATGCATTTACCCTTTGCTCCAACAAGAAAGCCTGACCCTGAAAAACAACATGATTCTCCCCAACCCACCACATCTGCCACCTGGGAGGGTAGTCAGCCATCTGCCAACATGGAGCCATTCTGGGACCAGTCCTTCTGCCACATCTGTTTTTAGTCTGTCTCTTCTGGTGTTTGACTTTGTCTAAAAATGCAACTGCAGCCAGAAATGGATTCTCTCCACTTTTTTGTGACCCAGGACTCCAGCTAAAAACAAGCTGATCATATCACACAGATAATCTGTAAAACCTGACCGGACCATGGCATTGTCCTCTAGACTCAAAGACCTCCCTACCGGCCTTCCGTCAGAGATGTAACTTGCCCAGAGGCATCTCCGAAGGAAGGGCAAACCCAGGCAGCAAGTGGACAGGCAGGAAGCAAGGGGCAAAAGCGATTTCCAGACTCACAGCCAGGCGTCTTTTCCACCAACCGAGCAAGTTAGGGTTCTGGTTCTCATCACAGCCACCAGGGGGAGCCAAAGCACACAGTCCGGCGGCAGGCCCTAGGATGGGGGCGGGGCATGCATTCTTTTCCGGAGCTGCAGCCACAGACTCCTGGTGGGGAGTGACCTCACACACCCGTCGGCTTCCCCATCAAGCTGATGAGCCTGCCCACCCTCTCTTGGACCCGTACTGGCCTTGCTGAATTCTTCGGGTTCATCACTCTCCCCCTGACTCAGGGTCCTCAAACATGCTGTTCCCTCGGCCCTCTGTCCCATCAGCTCTCACTCCTCCTCCAAACCTCAGATGAAATGTCACTTATTCAAAGTGTCTTCTGCAGTTCCTGAGACAAGGCCACACCTCCTGCTCCGGGCCGGGCCACCACCACCGTGTACCGCTCCCTCAGCTGCACTTCTCAGTAGGGTCTGTTTTATACTCTACCATAAGCTCCATCAGGGCAGGAGCCCGGTCTGTCTTGTCCACTGCTGCGTCCCTGGCATCTAGCACCAGGCTCACCACGACGCAGGCACTCAGTGAACGCTTGAGTTAATTCAGAGGATCAGCTCGTAATCATGGCAAAGCACGCTTGCCCAGACCTCTTTATTAGAAGGGAGGACAGGGCTGAAGTGGCAAGCAATTCCTGAGACCGCAGCCCATAATACAGGATTTCTCAAAAACCTGCCTGAAAGAACATTCCTGCTTAAGGGTCTTGCCTCCAGCAGCACCCTAGGAGGGCAGAATGTCTCAGGACTGCGTGTGGCTACATAACCACGGTAGGAAAAGCCATGCCTGGGGGAGGCCCAGACAGCAACCAGACCCCTGGAAAGCCTCCTCTGACGATTATACAGGATTCCTGCTATCATTAAACCCATTCCAATGAATCAAAGGCTATTCTATCACTTTGGTGACAAGTAGCTGGTCTTATTGAGAAGAAAAGCTAGTAAAAACAAGATAAAAGGGGCTAGCCAGATGCCCGAGGCTTCCCTTGCATACTTTTGGCTTCCTAATCTTGTTTGCCTGCTGCCTCCACCAACTAACTGCCCAGATAACACCACTGATAAGGGCCCCCTCCCCTTTTTCTTTTGTCTCTCCACCCCCTACCCTCCCAGCCATAAAAGGAGGCCAATGCCAAGGTTCGGGGCTCAGCCTTTGGAGGTGACTCCGCTGGGCCAGCACCTGTGGGCAATAAACAGTCTCTTCTGATTCCCAGAGAGTGCGTGGGCTTGTCTCTTCCTGGGCGCTGAGTATTTGCTGTAACATTATGACTTCTATTTTCAGCAACCCAAATGGGAGGACTTCAGGAAGACCCCCCCCCCCCACACACACACACACAAATGGCCATAGACTGACTCTGCTTTGCTTTATGAAGACTGATGAGAGAAAGGGAATGAGGGCCCGGTTGCCATGACAGAGAGGATGCAAGAGGCCATATTCCCAAGTAAAATCTACGGGAATCGGCCAAGACTGAAACGAGGGATGAGGAAGGTGGAAGGTGTCAAAGGCAGCAGTGATGGAGGCCGGGACCCCCTGCTAAGGAGCCCCCCGGGGCCTGGAGTAAGCAGAGACTACCCAGCAGCAGCTCAGAGCAGCATGCTTATGGAATCACCAGAAAGCCCTGCACATGTCTCCAGCCTAACTCAAAGGGACACATTCTGAACTAGGCTCATTTACATCCAGAAAATTCTCACACGCTGAAATGTTAGGTGATTTCCTCCCACTGGCAACCCCCAGCCCCCAGGCCTTTCCATCACCATAACAACCATGCGCCGACAAGCAGGGTGACATCATCAGGAAGGACTTTCACCCCCACCTCAAGATCTCTTCTGGGGGCTAGCTTCCAGCTTCCTATGACACACAGTGCTCCCCCCACACCACCTCCCGCCCCCTCCCTGCTTCCTCCGCCCTACAGCCCTAAGCACTGATGCAATTCCAGAGGCATCCTGGCTTTATTCGACACACTGGAATCTGTGGAGGATCGTTTGGGTCCTTCCACACAGAGGGTTTAGTGGATCGGAGAAATTCCAAAGGTACATAACTCATACGTGGCAGTGAGAATACAGGGAAAGGCTACATGCTTAAGGACCAAAAGGGATGCTGGAACACCACAGCCCAAATCCACTCCTAACTACCCGGGAGACCTTGGGCAACTCGCTTCGCCTCTCTGAGACTCAGTTTCCTGAGTTTCAACCAAGGCATTAGCAGGACTGCAGAGATTTGACGTGAATCAAGCAAAAGACATATAAAGAATTGAACTTAGAGCCTGGCCCGTGACAAATGCTCAAGATCTGTTATTATGACCACTAGACGGCAAAACCATGAGAGCAGGGGTCATTTTTGAGCTAGTGTTGAATTCCTTGAACTAGTTCACTGATGATGTCAGTAGCACCCAGTGAGTCCGATGTCCCAGAGAAGGTGCGCAGTTACTATCTGTTGAAAGAATGAATGAATGTTATTACTGTTTAGTGAGCCCGGAAATACAGGGGGAGAGAGAGAGACAGGCAAGGGAGAAAGGGAAGAAATATGAGCCAAAGTGCTGTCCAGATCCAAGCCCTTAGGCAGCAAGTCCAAGTACTGCCATTGCAATTCAGATCGAAGCCATCCTCGACAGCAATGGCGTGTCTCCAGGGCCGAGTGAGGGGCACCGGAGGGAGCTGGGGGCACTGTGAGCAGATGGAGGGAACACGGAAAGAACAAGCTGGGAGGGAGTATCCGAAATAATTCGGATTTGCATCTATGTCATCTGAACTACCCAGCTGGTCACTCAGGAAAGCTGTTGATCGAGCAGCAACACTGTTGGTGGCTCTCAGGAAAGGGGTCACATACACCGACCTTCCAAAAGGCCATCAAGGCTGCAAATGCAGATCAAGGAGGGAGATGTTAGCAGTGTGGTTGAAGCCATGAGAAAATAGAGAAAGAAAAAAATGCATAGGAAACAGCCACAGCAAGACGATACAGAGGAGCCATTTCAGAATTAACACTTTCCCCCCCATTTCCTAGCTTCAGAAATTGGTGGCCTACATTGTGGGTAGGAACACACAGGGAGGTCTGTTGGAGTGATTGGAATTAGATGAGGAAACGGGAGAACAGTAACTCTTGGCCACTTAACATCCCAGCGAAATGGACTATGGAAACCTAGCTACTCACTGTACCTGACGGTGTATGTCTCTTCCTCATTTTATGGCACTTCTCAGCTTTAACCTTGGCCACTGTGAGTAAATAGGCCCCAGCAGCATCATACCCGACTTCTGCTAACACATTCCAGTAGTGGATGAGGTGCAGCCATGTCCAGAAGCTCAGGTTTTGGATCTTCGATACAGAATCTGTGATACTTGTAACACGATGAATTCATGTGAGTCATTTTAGTATTTCATGCCTTGAAGGAAGCTGTTCGATTTGCCCCATTCCATTAGCCTATTCATAAACTCCTTGACCACTACGACTTTGGTAGGTCACCAGATAGATGTGAACCTGTCCCTCTTAAGCAGTCAAAGCCATTGCCGCGTCTCTGTCCAGGAGGCCCCTCCTCTAGGCAGGCTCCCCGAATCTACCAGGCAGAGCAAGCCCCTCCCTGTCCCGAGCGTGCCCAGCTCTGGGTCTTTGCTTTAGTGAAGCACTGTTCCCCATATGTAGCTCTTCTCTGGCTCCACATCTGCCCAGCTAGATAGAGCCAGATCTCACTCATTCCTGCATCCCCGGGGCCTCCAAGAACATGGGAGACAGAGTGGGTCAATGATACACGTCTGCCAAAGGGGTACATAAGAGGACAAGAAAGTAGGGGAGATGAAGAGAAGGAGAAGGGTGGAGAGGAGGGAGAAGAAAGGAAAGGGAGGAGATTAGGTGGGTCCGGCAGGAGAATATAGCCAATCCTTTGTCCTTGCCCAACTACAAGTCCTTCTCTCTCTGGAATCCTCCTCTCTGAGAGGAATCCATGTGGATTCAAGAAGGGAAGAGAACACTGCAGAGCCAGACGATCCAATGGAGCAACGCTGGGAATCCATCAGCCACAGAAACTGGTGCCGAATGATGGGCCCATCCGAATGAACGAACGGGTTGCCGAACGACTAAGTGAATGAACGTGCCCTGCTGAAAGGAGCCATGGGTATCCAAACACAGTGTTTGGCGAAGGAGGAACGAAATCTGCCCAAACGCCACATGAAGAGGACACGTCTTACCTAGGACTTGACAGAAAGCTGCACAAACCCCCCCCCCAGGAGCCACTCATTTTCAAATGCCACGGCAGTTCCTCAAATACCCTCCAGAAAGTGGTTTGCCGTTGGAAGTATTGAACTAAGATTCGGTGGAAATGTGTCTTCTTGTGATTTGTTGGGTTCTGAAAGGTATATGGACGGCTTTCTCTGACAGGAGTGACCACACCTTTTGAAAAATCAATGACAGTTGAATGCGTCTGCCTTCTTACTGTATGAAAACATACAGTAGTGGGGCACCTGGGTGGCTCAGTCGGTTAAGCATCCGACTTCGGCTCAGGTCATGATCTCGCGGTCCGTGAGTTCAAGCCCCGTGTCAGGCTCTGTGCTGATGGCTCAGAGCCTGGAGCCTGTTTCAGATTCTGTGTCTCCCTCTCTCTCTGACCCTCCCCCGTTCATGCTCTGTCTCTGTCTCAAAAATAAATAAACGTTAAAAAAAAAAAAAATTAAAAAAAATAAAAAAAATAAAACATACAGTAGATAACAGCTCTGTGGCCATAGTTAGACACAATGAAATAGTAGCTTGAAAAAAAAACCTGAAATATTAAAAATATATCTTCTTTGATTTTTTTTTTAATATTTATTTTTGAGAGACAGAGCGAGTGGGGAGGGGCAGAGAAAGAGAGAGACACAAAATCTGAAGCAGGCTCCAAGCTCTGGCCTGTCGGCACAGAGTCCAATGTAGGGCTCGAACCCACAAACTGCAAGATCGTGACCTGAGCCGAAGTCGGATGCTTAACTGACTGAGCCACCCAGGTGCCCCCAAAGTGCATCTTCTTATAAGTCAGTCTGAATTTACCAAAGAATTAGTTACAGTTGTGATCACTGACCCAGATTTTTGAGAAGCTACGGAGCATGCTCATTTTTCATGGTGTCTTCCCCTCTCCCAAAGAAATATTTGTAACCCACTTTTCTATGTTAAACATATACCACGGCTACCACATAAATAAGCACTTTCCAAAATTTGAGGACACGCAATTTGGAGAAGTTCACCTGCCACCTGGGTCTCATCTAGGCTGCGGGGAGCTAAGCAAATTAATGGCAAATTGGCTGTTAGAGCCAAGTTTACTATGCTTTCACTAGCAAAGAGAAATGATTCCAACCAATCTTACTACCCAGAAACAACCTGCTTAAAAACAGAAGGGCTTGGTTTCATTAAAAACTTCAAGGGGGGTGCCTGGGTGGCTCAGTTAGTTAAGCAGTTAAGCATCTGACTCTTGATTTCAGCTCAGGTCATGATCTCACGGTTCGTGAGTTCGAGCCCTGCATCAGGCTCTGTGCTGGCAGTGCAGAGCCTGCTTGGGATTCTCTCTCTCTCTCCCTTTCTCTCTTTCAAAATAAATAAATAAACTTAAAAAAAAAAAAAAGAAGAAGAACTTCAATATACCTATCCTTGAAAGTTAAAAATAGAAGCATTTAAAATGTTCTGCTTGATGTTTTTTCTCGCAAGATGAATGGGACACAGGGCTGGATGGCACACCTGCTTCAGAAACCCATGGAAGAGGAAGGAAAGTTCCTCCTTGCACTGAGCATGGCAAGGGCATTTTTGTGGGGAATGAGAGAGAAAGAGAACTGGGACAAATGTTACCCTGCATCCGAGATTTAGAGTATTAAACGCAGTGCTTAATGTGTACAAAACATTGTCATAAAAAACACTGAGTTTATTTTTTTTTAAGTTTATTTATTTATTTTCAGAGACACAGAGCGTGAACAGGGAAGGGGCAGAGAGAGGCAAGAGAGAATCCTGAGCAGGCTCCATGCTGCCAGCACAGAGCCTGATGTGAGGCTCCAACTCATGAACCATGAGATCATGGCCTGAGCAGAAATCAAGAGTCGGATGCTTAACCGACTGAGCCACCCAGGTGCCCTAAGTTTATCTTTGTACAAAATACCCTTGTGAGATATGAAAGGATATGAAAATCTCTATGATTTTCCCATATAATTTCTCATGTCAACTTTCCTGGGCGAAGGGATGCCCAGAGAGCTGGTTAAGTACCGTTTCCCACTGTGCCTGTGAGGGGGTTTCTGGAAGAGACTAGCACTTGAATGAGTCTACTGAGTGAAGGAGATTGCCCTCACCACTGCAGACGGGCCTCATCCAATCTGTTGAGGGCCGGAATAGAAAAAAAAAAAGGCAGAGGAAGGGCAAATCTTCCCCTCGGCTCCAGCTGGAACCTCTGTCTTCTCAGCACTCAGACCTTTAGACTTAGACTAGAAATTACAGCACTGACTCCCCTGGTCCCCACTAGCACTACCACCAGCTTTCCCGCACCTCTAGCTTGCAGACGGCAAGATCCTACCTCCCAATGTCCACAATCACATGAGCCAAAACTGCACAATAAATCTTTTTCTAGATATCTATGTAGAGATACACACAGAGAGAGATACACAGAGATAGAAAGAGATAGAGAACTAATCCTAGTGGTCCTGTTTCTCCAGAGAACCCTAATACAATCTCCATATGACAAATGAAATTACTTAAAGTCAGAGGGGCCAGGAGGCTGGTCTCTGGCCAGCACGTGAGTGGAGAAGCAGGATTCAAACTTTCTGACTCGATTCCAGTGCTTCTCCACTTAACATGAGACGGGAGGGATGGCCTGACCACAGCATCATCTGTGCAAAGTTCAGCACGGTTCTCACGGGCACACTTTCTGGTGGACATTTCTGTACTGCTCTTTTCTCTCGTGACAGGCTACATTGTGCTGTGTGGACAAACGACCTCAAAATCTCAGTGGCTGAAAACAGCAAAGGTTCATCGTGCCATCACAGATAATGAGGGTCCTGGCTGAATCTCCAAATCCAGGTCTGCTCATGCCCGGACTGACAGACCAGCCGCCATCTTGAACATCGCCAGTAGCCACATACAACTCGTTGCACAGAACGGGTCACAAGGTGCTCCCCAATAAAGGGACCAGAAAGTGCTTCCCATGGTGGGTGGAGGCGCTGGACATACTGGCAATTAGCTGTCACAGCCACCACGGTGCTTATCATTGTGCCGGACGCTGTATTAAGCACCTTACGTTAGGTATACTTAGCATTTTTAATACCCTCGAGGTAAACACTACCATCATCCCCATTTTGCAGGTGAGAAACTGAGTCTTAGAAAGTTAAGCACCTTTCACAAGGCCAGGCCAGTTCTGTCAGATTGAAAGTCCTTGCTCTTAACAAGAAATCATTTATAGTAGATGCCATAGCGATCGCCAGTCGGAAAGAAGGTAGACTCTTTGCCAAACAGCACGCGGGCCTGGGAGTGAGGTAAAGACAGGGTGAAATGAGGCTGCTCCTCTACCATGACCACAGTGTCACCTGCAGGTAGCAGGTGAACAGGTAGTGAGTCGCTCACCCTTCCCTTCCTGTGCTCAGCCCTCCAGATCCTGATTCCACCGCAGGCAAACACCAGAGGCTGAGGGTCAGTACTGGCTCCCAAAACAAGGGATATGGAAGCTTCTAGAAATGGCAGGCCCAAAATGCCAACTGCCAGGAATAGCTGTGCATTCATTCAGCAAACATCTATTGAATGTAACTGGAGTGGGGCCCAGGGAACTCAGACCCGCTTGAAGGTGTTTGATGAAATGGAATACCACTTAGGCTAACAGAATTCAAGATTACCAGCTGATTTGCATGGATCATTTTGCGAAGAACGGTAGGTAAAAGGCCACAGGGGAGACAGATGAGTAAAACAAAGGGAGAATTCAGAATGGCTAACACTTCTTAAGAATTCACTATGGGCCAGGCCTAGTCTAAGTGCTTGTAATTACATGAATTACACATTGAATGCTTGCTAGTCATAATGTTCTGAGCTTGGTACACTTATTATTTTACAAAAGAGGGATGTGGGTAGAGAGGGATCCGGTCTTCAGCTAGGAAGTGGAAAAGCCCAGGCTCACCCCGCTCTAGCATCAGGGGCCACTTTTACCCATTATGCTAGGCTGGACCCTTCTACTCAACAATTAATCGCTGCAAAATGGGCCTCACAGACTTGGTTTTCGGAGTTTCTATGAAGTGAGGGGTTATACGAAGTAAAGGAAGGAGCTCTTTCCAGGAAGGGCTCCCTGAGACCCCAGGAAAGGGTGAGGTTTGGGGGAGGAGGTCGCATGGTTCAGGTCTCCCAAAAGACACCTTCTCTCCCTTTGGACACCAGCACCATCCCGACACCTCAAGGGCTGGCTGCCAGAGGGCAAAGAGACAGGGACCCCAGCATGAGGCTTGGTTTCCCTGGGGGGAGCCCTGCAGGGGCAGCTGGGAGGTACCCACGTCACTGAGCACAAACCAGAAGAGCCTCTACGTGGTGGCTACAGCCAACAGACAGAGGAGCACAGGTAACACTGCTCAGGGTCTCCCGCAGGCACCTGGGGCAGGTGAGGACTTTCTAGGAGGCTGGTGGGAAACAGAACTGATACGACCTAACCTAGCCAGAGAACGTTCTGTGTACACAAGAAATAAATGGAATAACGTATATGAAGCGGCTGGCACAGTGAAAGCACTAAATAATAGTGGTGGCTATGATGGCCAGGGGCAACAAGATGTGACAATGCTCTGGCCGCACTAAAACAGCACTTCCCAGCTTTCTGGGTCTCCCCCCTAACCGCCCTTTCCCTTTTCAGCCCCACTGATACGCACGTATGCACACACACATGTACACGCATATGTTCACCCACATACAAAGAGTATATAAGACCAAACAATCCTCAGCTCTAGTAGCAAAAAGGGAAAAGACGTTGCTGGACCACAGCCCAGGGTACAAAGCCTGCCTCTAGACTAGCCAATTTTTGGTAGGAGTAACTTAAGTTACAAATTGAATACAATACTTACAAACTGAATACAATCTGTAAACAGAGTATTAATTTCAAAGGAAAGAAGCATCCACATATACGTGTGGCTAAGAGACTAGTTTGCCCCAAAATAATTGAGAAGACAATTATCAAATATATCAAAAGATAGCCCTTTACCAAAAAATATCATAGCAGACTCAAGTCCTACAGCCTTCGCTTTGGCATCTTTTTTCTCCCTGTAGGATATGCTTTACTTCCCATGCTCAAGCTACCTGGAAGTGAATTGTTGCAATTACAATTCCTGGCGCCTCTGGTAAAGATGTATTCACATCCTGGTTGTTGTTGTTGTCTTTGTTTTCCTGACAATAGTGAATGTTGCCAGCAGTGCTTTCTTTAGGGGCTCACAGTGCAGAGAAGGGCTACAGCATATACCCAGAATTTTAACAGCCACACCATGGCCTTGTCCCTGCACCTCCAAGAGTGTTACTGTTCTACAGGAAAATGGAGAGACTAAGTGTGTTGCAAACCATCAGAGACCAAGTGAGCAGAAGAACTGACATCACACCTAAGAGCACCCTCACTCCCCACCCCCCTTCGCTACATTATGTAACTTAAGAGGTGGTGGGAATGACGACAATGTAGGAGGGAAACAATCTTTTAAAAAAGAAAGTGAAAGAGGACATAGTAAACCCGAAAGGAAATTTGCACAGAGCTTAGAATCTTTGCCGAGGCTGTGATGTAAGGTTTTTGAAGTCCACGAACCTGAAGTTCTCTGTGTGGCTAGAGGGCTCTGCTTCTAGGTCAAGAGTCTGTGATTGCCATTGTTTCTCAGATTCAGACCTCAATCCTTTCAGAAGGGGATAAGAATTTGATTTCAGGGGCGACAGCGTAGCTCAGTTGGTTAAGCATCCAGCTCTTGCTTTCGTCTCAAGTCATGATCTCATGGTTTGTGAGACTGAGCCCCACATTGGGCTCTGCATTGACAGCACAGAGGTTGTTTGGGACTCTCTCTCTCTCTGCCCCTCCCCACTTGCACAAGTGCACGCATGCTCTCTGTCTCTCTCAAAATAAATAAACTTAAAAAAAAAAAGAATTTGATTTCAGAATTAGGGCAGAAACTGCTAATGCCTATCCAATAACCATCTCCCTCATCTTTGTTAGTAACAGATGCCCACCTTAGTTTAGGGTAGCAACACACTCCATTGAAACCTCTGTTCCCCAACTTTTCTCATATCTAACTGTGGCCAAATGACGTTTTAGAGACAGAGTGGAAATGTTGGTGAAAACCTGGGAAAGCTCCTTAAAAGGAAATGCAAACCCTTCTTTTCATCCTTCCTATTGCCCAAAATGCAATGGCTGGAGCTCCAGCAGCCATGCTGCTTCCAGCAGTCATGCACATGAGATGACCCTGAGAATGCAAGCTAATGTGTGGATCAGGGACATAGAAGGAAGAGGGTCCCAGATGACTTTGTGGAGCCAACAGGGCAGCCCTGAACTGCCTACTTTCAGAAAGCTCTCATGTGAGAGAATAAACCCTGGGATGTAAGCCATTGAAGTCAGGTCTCAGTTACTCACAACCAGGTACAAGTATTAATTTATATGACCATGTATACCCATGTTTACAGATTCATTCCTACTTGAGAAATGCTAGCTGCAAGCTTTCCCTTGAACGCAAACTTCCCTTTTCCGAACTAGCAGGTACTTACACAGATTTAAGCCCTTAACCAAGAAGCTTGTGCTCCACAGCACTCCGCAGGGACTGGTGCCTGAAGTACAGGAGGCCATTGGGCTTCTCCTGGACCCACTGTCTGGTGGCATTGCGGAGGGCAGCCCAGTGCAACATGGTCACTTTGTAGTGATCCCTGTAGCCCAGCATCTCCAAAAGCTGGAATATCTCATCCTCGGCCAATCCACAATGTGAGATGCTCAAAAAAGCACAGAGTGTCGGCCACCCAGCCATCCGGTGCTGTACAGATAACACAATGACAGCAATGACAAAAAGAACCGTTCACATCTGCCAGGCATCATTCTAAATGGCTAAATGTCGTGTATGACTATACAACTTGTTTCCTTTAATCATCCTATAGGCAGATACTATATAACTTCCCCTGTCTTACAAATAAGAAAAATAAAGCCCAGAGATGTTAAATAACTTAGCCAGTCACACAGGAGTAAGTGCAGAACTGGGATTTGAGCATAGACTGCCTGGCTTTGGAGCCCATACTTTCAGGCATTAAGTTATCATCCACTTTGTCCCAACTAATACGTCCATGTTAGCTATGGTTATAAGCTGGAAAGCTTGCCAATTATCATACTACTGAGCAGTCTATTAATACTTTCAAATATCAAGTTTGCATCGATGGGTCTGAATGGTTTTTTGGTATGATTGCTATCTTGCCACAGACACCACTGGAGCCAGCTCTATGTTACTCACTTTTTCAGCCAGAGCTGGATTCCCGCTGGCTTTATGACCAGCTCTAAAGAGATCCTTAAGACCACTGAGAGAAAGAACAAAGTCTACCATTCTATTTTTTTTTTTTTTTTAATTTTTTTTTCAACGTTTATTTATTTTTGGGACAGAGAGAGACAGAGCATGAACGGGGGAGGGGCAGAGAGAGAGGGAGACACAGAATCGGAAACAGGCTCCAAGCTCTGAGCCATCAGCCCAGAGCCTGACGTGGGGCTCGAACTCACGGACCGCGAGATCGTGACCTGGCTGAAGTCGGACGCTTAACCGACTGCGCCACCCAGGCGCCCCAAAGTCTACCATTCTAAATGGACTTCTTGTGCCAGGACTGGGGAATGAACCTCAAACACCTGTAATCTTTACGCAGAGGGAGCTGCTCAGCCCCAGCTGTACAAGCTCCTTCTGAAGTTGACCCCAGGTTTACCAAGTTCTTCCTGTACCTGTGGCTGAGTGCCTTGGGCCTGAGGAGGGGTCAGTGGGCAGGAGGAGGAAAGTCAGCTGGGGAGAGGAGGGCCTGGGCTTTCCCGCACAGTCCCAGACAAGCAGGAATATTCCTGGGCACAGCCATGGGCCACCTTGCCTGCGTGACTCTTCTCAGGGCCAGAGACCTTTCTTTCACCTCCTTGCAGGTGAGGGAGAGCACGCTAAATTTGCAATTCATTTTATTTGCAGAAATGCAAAGTCTAGAGCAAAAAAAAAAAAATGGGGCAGGACAATATGTGGTCACACCAACCAACGTGTCTTTCATTGCAAGTATTTTGTGCTTCTTTCCCCACCCCCACATCCCCCTTCCTGCTCCATTCCAAATTCATCAAACTTAAGAGAAGGTTATTATGGTAGAAACTGAAGTTTCAAAAGCCTTTTGAAGCTCCTAGCAGAGATAATGGCTTTGAGAACAAACTTTGCTTCTCAAAAGACTGTGGAATATCAAAAGACAAAAATGCCTGACCGACTCATGGAATACGTCTTTTAACCACAAACAACAGACTCAGTTACAGGGTGAGCTAAAGAGGACTGAACCAAGCAAGGTGGAGGAGACAGTGCGAGGAGAGAGCAACAGAGTTGCTCAGGTGGGCCTGTGCTGTTCCCTGAACCCAAGCTGTGAGCAGGGACAGGGGACCTACTGGATGCACCTGGGGACCCAATAGTACAGACAGCCTGTGCTGTGCCTCCCATTGGGAGCCTACAAGGCCAGTGCCTGTAGATCTTCTGATGCCCCCAGAACCAGAGAGCAGAAACCACTATGGGGACACCTACAGAGCCAGATCTCTGAAGGTGCAGTGAGCAACCAACATTCCCTGTCGGGAATGTTGAGTACCCACAAGACTATGGGCTCCAGGAGAGTGCAGATGTCAGTGGAGGAGAGGGGCCTCCTCACATTAGAGTGAAGGAAAACGGCAGCAGATGGCAGCATAGATCGAACAACCCAAGAACAGATGGGAACACAGCCATCCTAGAGGATGCCAGCATTGGAAGAAGTCAGTATCTGTGGACCATCTGGGGCCATGACCACCTCAGTGGAAGCCAGCAGGGACAGATGACAACCAAGGACATCCAGCACCAAGACCCTCAGATTTAAGCTCAACCCCAAAGAAACACACACAGGAAGGACACAAATCCTCTCTTGACTGAAAACACCCTGAATTGTACCAAAAAAAAAAAAAAAAAAAAAAAGCTGAATTGATGGATTTAACCTAGATGAACTGAATTAGGTTTCTGCCGTCACTTGAACTATAGGCTCAAAAGAGTTGAGTTATAGAAATAATAAAGGCCCATTTCTTAGATTCCTGAAAAATTGTCTAATATGGTTCCCTTTACAGTCAGCACAGAGCTCCCTAGACAGGGTTGTTGGATTTAGCAAATAAAAACGCAGAGTAGCTAGTTAAATTTTAATTTTAGATAAACAAAAAATCAATTTTGGGTATAAGTATGTCCCATGCAATAATCTGGGATATACTTGTAATGAAATTATTTATTTGTAATTCAACTAATTTTTAGTATAAGTGTGTCCCATGCAATAATTGAGACATACTTTTACTAAAGGACTGTTCTTTGTCTGAAATTACAATTTAACTGGGCATCTTGTATTTTCTCTGACAACCCCATCCTTGGACCCTCCTCCTCTGGGTGGTCCACCATACATCTCTCTCCCTGTGGACTCTAGCAGGTTGTCAATACTGGCCAAGGCCTACCTTCTCCTAAAGCCACCGTGTCTGAATTTGCCTTTTTTGGCGTAAAAGTCCAGCTATAGTCCTCAATCCAGCGTTTCAGAATCAATTCCCAGAGCTCCTGAACAGACACCACCTCCAAGTACTCCTTCAGACACTGATACTCATCTCGGTAGATTCTACATTCTCTGAGTTCATTCGCTAGGATCGTGAGTTTTAAAGGATTCGGGTTTGTTTTTTTCCTCAAAGTGGATTGGCTCTGTTGGAGGGGGTCTTTGTTGAGAATGGAGAGATGCTGTCTAAAGATGTTTAGTTTCACTTCTTTGTCTCCTATGCTAATGAAGTCCACTGTCCTCACATCTGGGCGAGCACACAGCAACTTGTAGGACAGGCTAGAGGAGACAGTGCTCATGATGAATTTGCAATGAGGAGGCAGCGAGCATGGCAGCCAAGAAAAATCTTCTGCCTGGTGGAGAAAGTCAAAGATATTTGAAAACTTTAAAGACTTTAAAACTACTTTACTGATGGTTTTTAAACTTAGAGCAGCTAGAATATAGTGAGTAAATAGAGGGTTAAGGGCTGGGGTGAAGGTTATTAGCGATAAGGTGGATAGTAAGCAATATGGTGATGATACCAATTCACACTCTACAGAACTATATTCACTGACTTACCCATCTGTTATGAATTTGATAGTACAAAGGTGACCTCTAAAAAGAGGTTTGTACGGGGCACCTGGGTGGCTCAATCACTTAAGTGACTCTTGATTTCAGCTCAGATTACGAACTCACAGTTCATGGGATCGAATCCCACATCGGGCTCTGTGCTGACAGTGCGGAGCCTGCTTGGGATTCTCTCTCTCTCTCTCTCTCTCTCTCTCTCTGCCTCTCCCTGCTCTCTCTCTCTCAAAATAAATAGATTAACAGTTAAAATAAAAAATAAAAAAACATTCCTACAAGCAAGTAATCTGACAAATCTTAGGCTTCTAAAGAATGACCTATAGTGACGATCAAGGGAAATCTTAGAGTGCAAACTGAACCATTCAATTGAAAAACAGAACATTGTTTTATGATGAAGAATCTTGCTTTGTACAGCAATACTATCATAAATTAAATGGCTTTATTTGGGGATAAGATAAACACCTAATCAGATCTTTCTAGATTCCTTTAGCAGCCTTTCCTACCCCTCTTTGACTAATAATCGCAAATATAATAATAATAATAATAATAATAATAATAATGATAACAACAGTAACTACCAAACAGTGAGTGCTTACTCTGAGCCAGGCACTGAGTTGAATGTGTCTTCAGGTACTGTTAGGGATTTTTATTTTTATTTTTTTATTTTTTGATACTGTGACATTTCTCTGGGGCCTTAGAGATTCAGGAGAGACTGTTTTTCCCAAGGCAAGCTAAGTCCCGGGGGTGGTGGCAGCTTGCCTGGAACATGCCTGTCATGTGCAGACCCACAGATCCAAGAACACACCCCCACCTACCTTCTTATCTGACTCGCATTCACCAAGCCAATGTTTCCCTGCCCCACATCATCATCCTGGGGCTAGGACCAGACAACTAGGGACAACGATGCCACAAAGCCTGCTGAAATTACACAAACTAGCCAATCCTGAATGGCTTCCTCTACCTTTCCCATGGGAACCCCAATGAAGGCTTTGGCCTTGGCCTTCTCCTGGCTCCAGTCTTCTGCCTCCTGACCACCCTGATACTTCCCCTGGGGCCCCGAGTGGCATGGCGCATCTCCTTCTCTCAGGAAATGTAAGTAATCGCTTCCTTCAATGCCATTGGCATCTCCGTGCCATCACTCGGTCATCCTCCTATATATCAAAGCCCAGCACTTGTCACAGTTTGCAATCTTGTCCTTATTTGTGTAATAGCATCATTAACATCAGCCATCCCCTGTTAGAATGAAAGCTCCGTTTCTCTGCAGGGACCATGTCTGACTCTGCTTGTAGTGCTTTTGCTATAGTGAGTGGTCAAGAACTATTTGCTGAATTTGTGGTGGTTGCCATGCATTAAATTAAAAAGATTATAAAACAATATGGTGTGTAATCTCATTTACGTAAGCGTCAAGGAGTGTACATAGACATCCATAGAAGAAGGAAGGCTATACTCCAAAACATTGAAGAGCAGTGAGACTGTGAGTATACCTAATTTTCTGTTTTCTTTTTCTTCATCATATTTTCTATCAGAAACATATATTACTTACCTAATTTATAATTACATGTGTTTTTAAGTTTTAGAGAAAATTCTTCACAAGGTTCCAGTGATCCAATATCAGCTCAAACAGAAGAAAAACTAAGGAGGGGCACCTGGGTGGCTCAGTCAGTTAAGCGTCCAACTTCGGCTCAGGTCATGATCTCATGGTTCATGAGTTTGAGCCCCGCGTTGGGCTCTGTGCTGACAGCTCAGAGCCTGGAGCTTGCTTCGGATTCTCCCGCTCTCTCTGTCCTTCCCCCATTCACACTCTGTCTCCCTCTCCTTCAAAAATAATCGTTAAAAAAAAAAAAAGATAAGAAAAACTAAGGAAAGCAACCAATCGATGGGATTTGATATGTGCATAATCAGTATAGATGAGGCAGGTCATAATATACAACATAAAGAAAATACTAGGAGTCCAATAAATGCCTGATCAATGTATAAAATGGGGGGGGGGGGTGCAGAATCAGGCAGAAGTAAAGGTTACAGTTTCCAGAACCAGACTGTCCATGTCTGAATTCTGAGTCTAACACAATCTTAGGATGTTGGACAAGCCACCTAACACCTCCATGCTCAGTCCCCTCTGTATAAACAGGGATGATGATCACAGTGTCTCTTTCATAGGGTTCTTCTGAGAATTAAATGCGTTAATATTTATAAAGTGCCTAGAAAGGTGCCTGACCCGTTGTAAGTGTCACAGAAGTATTTGTTCAATAAAACATATAGTAGTAGCTATAAGCGATGCTGGCTATAGCTATAGATATGCAATGCAATGGAAAGGTGTTACAGGGGCGTCTGGGAGGCTCAGTCAGTTGGACATCTGACTTCGGCTCAAGTCATGATCTCGTGGTCATGAGTTCAAGCCCTGTGTCAGGCTCTGCACGGACAGCTCAGAGCCTGGAGCCTGCTTTCCTCCCTCTCTCTCTCTCTCTCTCTCTGCCCCTCCTCCGTGCTTGTTCTCTCACTCACTCTCTCTCTCTCTCTCTCTCAAAAATAAACATTGAAAAAATTAAATAAAAAGAAAGATGTTACATACCTTCTAAATTATGGAGTTTTCTTTTTATAAAACTGTAATAAAATAGGTATTTTTTTTAAAAAGAGATTATCTTCTGTCCTAAAATCCCATAAATGCCAATGAATTCTTCAATTCCATCTAGGACAAGTATACATGGCTTTAAATTGATGGAAGCAATGAAAACTTCCACAAGAAGTGAAAAGACCAAGACATTTGAGCCTTCGTTAAGAACATCAGTTTCAAGCTGAGTACCTAGAGCATAGGAATTTGTTCAAATTAGGCAAAAATGTTTCCATCATTGCTAGAATATGTTAATGGGATGGGGAGGCGGAAGGGGTTGGGAACAATGAGTGCTATTCACAGCTGTACAGCTGACACATATAGGTATATGTGTGATTAGCAGCCTAAAAATATTCAACCCAAAAGGGATAATGATATTTACCACCAGATGTCTCCTATACATTTTCAGGATTTTATATAAAAAATATTTTGTATGATCCAAAGCATTACTCTCATCTTCCAAAATGCAAAAATAGTTCATGTTACAAAGAGCTGGAAGGGAAGAAAGAGAAGCCAGTCTATGCAGTCTGCGAAGTTTATGCAGCTCTGTAACGTCAGGTGGCTGTTTAGGGGCCACGGCTACCACCTGGGTGGTCCAGCAGGGGCACACATGCATCATCCCCCACCACTGCCTGGTCTCTTCAGTTCTCGCCCACATCAAATCTGACATAACCAATCCTAAATTACTCTATCCGCAATATTGGACCCCAGACCTTCGAATCTGTAAATTACCAGGGAAAATCAGGCTATAAACCAGAAAGGGCAAAGGATGTGATTTGAGAGGACTAACTTGCAAACTCTGATTGCGTGACACAGCAGAGAGCAACCCAAAATTGTAATCAACTGCTTAATACTTTAAGAGCATTTTACTACATACAACTTTGGTCTTGCTTTTATTTTTCAAAGGCCATGTTTCCCATAGAAATTTAGGCACATTAGAATCTAGAAAATCAAGTTATGCAAAGAAGCTTTTAATGGATTTACATCTCTCAGGTGCATTAAGATTCTGTTAGAAGCATATTGAATAACTATGTTTAACAATACTTATTGGTTGCCTGTTACGTGCAAGGTTCTGTGCTCAATGTTAAAAGGAGATAAAAATGATCTATAAATAAAGTCAAGGAGTTAAGGGAAGTGAAAATGGGTTCAGTACACACACACACAAAAAAAACACATTTCAAGGTAGAATATGAGTCTGAAGAGTACTGGAGTGTGTTGCAGAACCATCACAATGAAGACAAGCTTCATGCAGAAGACATGTGAGACGAGCTTCGGGGAATGCACAGGTAGAGATGAGGGCAAAGGGATATCAAGCAAGACAAAGCAAAGGTAAAGGTCTGGAGGTAGGAAGACACATGAGCATTCAAAAAAACAGGAAGCTGATTAGAGCAGTGCAACTCAACAGGGGTGCTCTAGGAATTCGAGATGTCCTAGAACACAGGACAGTCACACACAATGCAGCTGTGTCCTGGGGTCTACCTGCCTTCACATGTTCTGCCAGACAGTCACTTGGGGGGGGGGGGGGAGGGGGTAACCTTATTAATGACCTCACCTAGAAACCAACTCCATTTTCATGTAAATGCAAAGTAATTTTTGCACAGATTCAAAACACATTGAATTTCCTAGGAATACAACTACCATAGAAAGTGATGGAAGATAATATGTTGTTTCGTCTGAAATGATACCAAGATTTCAGAAAATCACGACCCTGATGGGAACACTGCTCATGATGTTGGAGCCTTGACTACAACACATCCATGGATGTCTGCACTAGCAGCTTTCGAAAGCATGGTCATTTTCCATGACCTGCCTACTCCACTGTGGCTTCTACTGGAATCATGTCTGAGCATTTACATATTGGAATGCATATTATTTTGCAATAAATTACTTTACTTTTCTCTTTTACATTATACTAGAGGGTTACATCGGGTTTTGTTTTTTTTTTTAATTTTTTTTTTCAACGTTTATTTATTTTTTGGACAGAGAGAGACAGAGCATGAACGGGGGAGGGGCAGAGAGAGAGGGAGACACAGAATCGGAAACAGGCTCCAGGTTCTGAGCCATCAGCCCAAAGCCTGACGTGGGGCTCGAACTCACGGATCGCGAGATCGTGACCTGGCTGAAGTCGGACACTTAACCGACTGCGCCACCCAGGCGCCCCACATCGGGTTTTTTTATTGAGGTATAAATCACAAATGATACTACATTAGTTTCAGGTGTACAACATAATGATTCAATATTTGTATACATAAAATGATCACCACTTGTAAGTCTAGTTACCATCTATCACTGCACGGATACAAAAACACTTTTTTTCTTGTGACCAGACCTCTTAAGATGTACTCTTACCGGGGTGCCTAAGTGGCTCAGTTGGTTAAGCTTCCAACTTCGGCTCAGGTCATGATCTCGTGGTTTCTGAGTTCTAGCTCTACAGGGGGCTCTGTACTGACAGTGTGGAACCTGCTTTGCATTCTGTCTCCCTCGCTTTCTGCCCCTCCCCCACTTGCATGCACTCACTCTCTCTCTCTCAAAAATAAACATTCAAAAAAACATGTCTTTTAGCCACTTTCAAAATATGCAAAACAGTATTATTAACTATAGTCACCATGCTATACATGGCAGCCCCAGGACTTACTTATTTTATAAATGGATATATTGATTTTTAAAGATATTTTGGTATCAGAAAATGACTATAAAATCAATGACTTGAAGATTATATGTGAATGCAAGACATAAAGGAGAAGAAAGAATCAAAACAAGATAGTCTGAGCTTGGATCACACAATTAAAAGTATTTTTCAAGAACAGGAAGAGAACAATCTTGGTGCTTCATCCTTGGAGGGTTTTATCCGCCACCCCCCCCCCCCCCAAATCTTTAAAGTATTGAGATTTCAGACCTTGACTAAGTGAATTTTAGAGAAGGAGGGGTTCTGGAGATCATGTCGTCTAGTCCAAACCCTCATCTTGTAAGTGAGGAAACAGGCCCAGCAAGGTGAAAAGGCTTGAACACAGGTCATCAGGAGCTTTACAAACACTGATTTTGCTAATAGTTTTCCTAACAGCAACACATCCTCACTCAACGGTTGCTCCATCTGCGTTTCCAAGCCGCAAAGGTCACCGCTGGTGGATTCCGTTCACCAGCAGCCACATGCGGGAGGCACGGACTGTTGACCTTTTGTGTGAAGCTGGTACAGAGGCTATGTGACAAAACGGAGGTGAATGAACCTCAGAAAATACACGCAGCCTGACAATCATAAAACATAATATCACTCATAATAATCAGCAGAAAAATAATCCCAGGCAAAAAAAAAAAAAAAGAAAAAAAAACCTCAAGGAAGATACAGATCTATATCTAATAACGCAAAGGAAAGCATCGTTTCAGTGTTTTTTAAAATCCTTTTTGGGGTGATTAGAATTATTTTTCCTCAAAATAATATTGAAGATAGGCAGAATTACTAGTATTGGAAAATGATCCTAAACCTATCTCTTTATTCTGTTAGAACCAAACTGTCTCTCCTGGATGACAATGGCCTATTGTCTAATTTAAATTTTTTTAATGTTTTATTTATTTATTTATTTAAAAAAAATTTTTTTTAACATTTATTTTTTTTTTTTCTAAATTTGTTTTTTTCGACGTTTATTTATTTTTGGGACAGAGAGAGACAGAGCATGAACAGGGGAGGGGCAGAGAGAGGGGGAGACACAGAATCGGAAACAGGCTCCAGGCTCTGAGCCATCAGCCCAGAGCCCGACGCGGGGCTCGAACTCACGGACCGTGAGATCGTGACCTGAGCCAAAGTCGGACGCTTAACCGACTGCGCCACCCAGGCGCCCCAAACATTTATTTATTTTTGAGACAGAGAGAGACAGAGCATGAACAGGGGAGGGGCAGAGAGAGAGGGAGACACAGAATCTGAAACAGGCTCCAGGATCTGAGCTGTCAGCACAGAGCCCGACGTGGGGTTCGAATTCACGGACCGTGAGATCGTGACCTGAGCCAAAGTCGGACGCTTAACCGACTGCACCACCCAGGCACCCCTTTTTATTTATTTTTGAGACAGACAGAGACAGAGTATGAGAGGGAGATGGGCAGAGAGAGACAGAGACACATAATCTGAAGCAGACTCCAGGCTCTGAGCTGTCATAGAGCCCGATGCAGGGCTCGAACTCATGAACCACAAGATTGTGACTTGAGCCGAAGTCAGTTGTTTAATCGACTGGGCCACCCAGGCGCCACCTTTTCCTTTTTTTTTCAATGTTTTATTTATTTTTGAGAGAGCCTATTGCTTAATTTAAATAGTAACAACTCAAGTTTTTATTTATTTTATTTTTTAACGTTTATTTATTTTTGAGACAGAGAGAGACAGAGCATGAACAGGGGAGGGTCAGAGAGAGGGAGACACAGAATCTGAAACAGGCTCTGGGCTCTGAGCTGTCAGTCCAGAGCCCGACGCAGGGCTCGAACTCACAGACCGCGAGATCACGACCTGAGCCGAAGTCAGACGCTTAACTGACTGAGCCACCCAGGCGCCCCAACAGCTCAAGTTTTTAAACACCCAGTCACAAAAGGTAAATTCATGGGGAGAGAAAAACAGTCAATTGGTACAATTTCAAAATACTTTGTAACAAAATGACAGAGATTAACTGATTTTTTCACTTTTTGGCAGTGTTATCTCTTATCATTCAATAAAGACTTATTGAGAACCTTCTGTGTTGGTCAGGCTCTGCGTCAGGCATTGAATGTGAGAATGGCCAATAAAACAGACATGGTTTCCTGCACACCCAGGACTATAACGGGATACAGTAAAACATACAATGTCAGGACCACGTGTAAGTAGTGGGTGACCAGGATGGCAAGCTCACAGTGTTTGCAGAGACACACCCATATAAACTAGAGTACAACGGGACTGGGGCTACCCTTGCCACTTGCTTAAAGTTGGAGATGAAGGAGAGAGGCAGCCATCTGGCCCTCTTATTGAGAGAGTGTTCTTTTTTTTTTTTTTTTTTTTAAAGATTTTGCTTTTAAGTAATCTCTATACCCAATGTGGGGCTCGAACCCACAACCTCGAGATTGGGAGTCTCATGCTCTACCAGCTGAGATAGCCAGGTGCCCCCCGAGGGTGCTTTTTAAATAGAGACTTGTGATGCCTGAGTGGCTCAAGTCAGTTAAGCAACAACGGATTTTGGCTCAGGTCATGATCTCACAGTTTATGAGTTCAAGCCCCACATCAAGTTCTCTGCTGTCAGGGCAGAGCCTGCTTCAGATCCTTTGGGTCCCTCTCTCTCTGCCCCACCCCAGTTCACTCTCTCTCTCAAAAATAAATAAACATTAAAAAAAAAAAGTTTAAATAGGGCTTTAAGGGACGAGAGGATTTCACCGACCTGAGAAGAGGAGGGGCATTCCAGTAGATGGGAGTGGAAGTGGACAGACAAGGAGAGACAGAAATGACCGGCTGCTCCAGGGAGACCACACTTGTGGCACCAAGAGCAAGAGCCCCTGGAGAAGTCACCCAGGCCCAGGCACAAGGCTTGGCGAACCCTGCCAAGGAGTCCTGCTGGTATTGAGGGCAGACTCCCCGGTAAGTGATGCGAGGAGAGGGCCCTGAGGAGCAAAATGTCCCTGTTTGTTCAAGGAGGCAAGACCGGGCAGTAATGAGGACAAGGGGCCCTGAGCTCAGCAAAGACCTGAGTCTGAACCCTTGTTCTGCCCACACACAGCTGTGTGAGCCAGCCTTTGTGAGCCCCGCTCTTTATCTGGGACGAGAATGCTGGATGCTAGGAGCATTAACTAAGATGCTGAGAAAGCCCTTAGCACAGAACCAGGCACTCAGAACGCCAATTCAGTAAATGGAACTCTTTGTTATTCGGGCCGCCACCAGGGGAGGGGGGTGACAGGGGGAAGAAACAGGGAAATAAGAAAATCAGTGGCTCTCCTCGACCTTCCACGAGGTATGTCACATTAGGAACATCAGTGGCCTGCAAGGCAGGCGAGGGGCACGGGCCGGGGGAGAGCTGGCTCCGAGCAGTTCTGTCTGCAAGCTCCCTCTATCTAGGCAAGCAGGGGTGAGGACAGAGGGGCAGAAATGTGAGCTTCACACAGGGGCCTTTTGTCGGCCCACTGGGGAGGGCCGGGTGCCTGCAGGAGCTGGAGCTGCTCACGGCTGAGGCCACCACAGGGAGACGCCGCAGAGGAGCTGACCTCTCGGCCAGCTGCGTTCTCAGTGGCAGCTCTTCCTCTTCTGCCCACACCCACCTCACCCGGGTGAAACCCAGCTTCCTGGCTCAGGCGGCCAAGCTGCGCGCGAGCACACGCTAGGCAGTACACAGTGCTCCCCCTCAAGTTCCTCCCCCCACCCCCGCTGCGGCTACAAACTCTCCTGCATTGTGCTACCTCCTCCCTTAGTCTAATGAATAGGTTTCTTGTTTCCCTTAGCAGCCCCCACCGCGCTCCCTGCCTCTTTCTCTAGCTCAGTGAGGAATCACCATCATCATCATCACCACCATCATCATCATCGCTGCAACAATGATAATACTAACGACAACTGAGTGCCTGGTACTCTTCTAAATTCTCTACCTGTAATCCCCTGGGTAGGTACTGTGAATCCCACCCCCCATTTCACAGATGAGAAACGGGGGCCCACACTGTGTAAGTAAACTGCCCAAGAGCACACGGCTAGTAAGCAGCAGAGCCACGATGGAAAATGCAGGCGGGCCAAGTCCAGAGCCACAGCCTTTCCCCTCTGCCTCCCACTGCTAATGAGGCGGGCTGTTCTCTCCGGGACAGAAGGTGTCTCCTGAGGGTCAGGTACTCATAGGCTGTTCCTGAATGCAGTCTGCTTTGTCAACCTCAAGATCTGCTCGTTTTTAAAGATAGCAGCTGATGGGGCACCTGGGTGGCTCAGCTGGTTAAGCATCCAACTCTTGAGTTTGGCTCCTGTCATGATCTCACGGTTCGTGAGTTCGAGCCCTGCACGGGGCTCTCTGCCATCAGGGCGGAGCCCGCTTCTGTCTCCCTCTCTCTCTGCCCCTCCCCCACTCACATCTTTCTCTCTCAAAAATAAACATTAAAAAAAAAGCCATGTTTTTTTGAGTACAGATGGCAGCTGTTTTTGTTACGAGCTTTCAGCACCTTGAAACACACTCATTAAACTAACAATTCCCTTTGGGAATAAAATCCTAATGGCATACTCAGTGGGGTTTATCTCATCAGCCTGGCTGGTCGGAACACCCTTGGGATGCGGCTGAGTAGGATCAGTTGTTGTCGTGTAGAACCAGTCACACCTGCTGCTGCTGATTTTGGTTTTACCCACTTTACAACGAGAAATGCAACGTCAGAGAACTCACGCCCACATGTTCGCCCTATTTACTCATACCCACCACACACACAGAAAGGCACTCAAATACCTGTCCCATCATACAGAGATAATACACGTCCATCAAAACCCATTCTGCGTCCCACGTACCCAGGCGAAACCCAAATGTGCACTTGTGTACAAGCCCCAGGTGAGAAGGGATGAGTTCCCAAAAGCAGGCAGAGTCAGACATGCAAACATATGGCAGACACCTAACGACATAATAGCTGATATTTATCGGCGCTTCCTATAGGCCAAGAGCTGAGCTAAGTGTCTTTGTTTTTCCTACTTTATCTTAGTCAATCCTCTCAACTACCTATAAGACATTTTTTTAATCATCTGCATTTTACAAATGGGAAACCAGAGCTACATAGAGTTAAAATAACTCGCAGAAGGTCAGACAGCTAATAAGTAGCCATCGAGGTCAACTGCTCCTAGAACGGAGGCAGATCTCCCGTGATTGTTATCATTCCCCATGTACACCTTGTATCTGAAATGTCTTTCATCAAAAGCAAAACTCTTTTGATTCTCCCCAACACCTGCTGCTCCCACTCCACCGATAATGTTCCATCTCAGCAAACAGCGCTCACTGTCTGTCTAGCTTCCCAAAGCTGTCCTCAACTCCTCCTGTCCTGCAAAACCCACATTCAACTCCTCAGCAAACCCTCAATCTATCTAAAGCCCTCTTCCTCCTCTGCTACTGTCATCCCTTGCTTGGACCATTGCAAAAGCCTCTAACAAGTGTCCCTGCCTCCATACTTGCTCCTCCATATCCATTTTCCCTACATCAGACAGATTTTAATCTGTTCAAAATATCAATCAAATCATATCCCTCCCCTGCTTAAGATTTCCCACTGGTCACCCCACTGTACTCAACAGAATCTGAACCTAACATTCTGTCCAACAAAGCCCAGCCCTGAAATGGCCCCGTCTTCACCTCCGGCTCCATCTGATATGAGTCCCCCTCCTGCCCACCATGGCCTGGCCACACTGGCCTGCTTGCCCTCTCTAACTCCACTTTGCTTCTGGCTTAGGACCTGTGTTACCTTAACTACTCTCTCGCCTGGAACGTTCTTTCTTCTAATCTCCACATGGCCAGCTCCTCCTCATCCGTGAGGCCTCTACAGGGTATAGATGGCTACCTGTCCTGCAAAAGTCCATGTCCCCCTTCCAGAGCGTGGGGTTAGCATTCTGTCCCCACTTGACTCCCAGTGCAGCCATGTGGGCCCAGGGTGGCCAAGTGTTTGCCAAAAGAATGGCAGTGGGATTGATGTGGATCGCTGCCAGGCCAAGGCTTTAAAGGGACAGGTGCACCTTTTCCACCCTTTTTCCCCTTCCTCTAGCCAAAGGCAGAGGACTCTGAGGTCCTAGGGGATGACACAGCCTCAAGATGGAAAAGGCCTGTGTCCCCAAATCACCACATGGAGGAAAGCCACTTGTTGCCTAACTAGGAACCCCTTACTGGACTGCTCCATGAATCAGAAATAAACTTCATTCGAGAAGTCACTGAAATGGGACTTACTCGTCACAGCTGCTAGAGATACTCTAACACAGAGACAGTCCCTGACCACTCAGAGTAACTAGCAACCTGTCACCTTATCACATCACGCTGCATGGCATTTATCATTATATGTTTCCTGTTTATCGGTTATCTGCCTTTCTCAACTGTAACGTGGTATCTATGGGAGCCGTGACCCTATTTGCCTGATGCGTACATCCCCAGAACCCAGAGAAGTGCCTGACACAGATCAGGTGATCAATAAATATTCAGGAATGAGGGAATGAATGAGCAAGTGAGTGAATGAACCTGCTCGATAAATAGTTACTGAATCGAAGAGGAAGAGCAGTAGTTCAGAGGCATGTCCCACCTTGGAAGCCTTGCACTTGTTTCCCTTGATTGGAATGCTAGCCCTGAGATATCTGTGTGGCTCCCTCTTTCAGGTATGTATTCGAATGTCCCTTTTGCAGCAAGGCTTTCCCTGACCACACTTTTCAAGTCCTAACAGTTCACGCGCGCACACACACACACACACACACACACACACACACAGCCTCCCTTCTTGCTCTGTTTTCTTCTTCTTCATAGAACTTATCAAACATTGAGTTGGTTAACTCTTTGTCTCCGCCACCCCAAGAACATAAAAAACACCATGAGGGTAAGGAACTGCCCAGAATAGTGCCCTAGCACATAAAGGTACTCAATCCATTTTTGGTGAAAGAAGGAAGTAGGAAAGGAAGGAAATTTAATTCTGTGAGGGGAAGAGGTGGGCAGATTCTGCAGGTGAGACAACACGGGGTTTATGCTGGAACAGGAGGAGAACGGCCACATGAGCAGTAGACAGAATATCTGCCCTCCAACAAAAACTTCCTGAGGTTAAAAGCTTGACTCCATTACCATAGTTTTTGAACTGCAATTCTGTGATGAAGAAATGCGTCACGGACATGATGTCACTGCTTTCACAGGTGGTGCCCACAAAATGAGGGATCACCAACATGCTCGGATATTTCTTTTTGAAATAATTCACCCAGTTGGCGATCAGAGTGGACTTCCCACAACCACGTTCTCCAGACAAGAGCAAAATAGACTTGTCAACTGGAAGAGGACTTATTCTGAAAAATAAAGGGGTAAAATGTAGTCAAGAATATTTACAAAGGAAGGGAGGGAGAAAAGATTGTTCTGCATCTCTCTCTAAGAGATAGGAAATTCTAGCTAGTCTCAACTTTAGCCTCAATGGGCTCTAAGTAAGTAATCTGCCCTCTGGGCTTTAGCTCTGCCCTGTGTAAAATTAGGACAGAGGAGAGATGGTAACCGTGGAAGGCCCTTCCAGCTACACAGATCCTAGGGTTGTCCAGTAAAAACCTGGGCTTACATCAAGGGCCCAACCTGCCCAAACGTCCAGGAGACCCTATCACACCAGCCCACCGTCCTTGTATCTGTGCTGCTTACATCCTCCCAGGGACACAGCCACCATCACCAAACTGATTGTCCACAGAACACCATATCAGGAGACAATACAAAATAGAAGCACTCATATGCCAATGATCCCCATCGATCCTGACTACCATGACACTGCAAATGACCATGATTGTTAGTAACTTACTAAGAGGTAGTCTGCTCCTCTACCAGGGTGACTTGGCCTGTAGAACGGCAGAAAGAAGATTCCTCTGCACCGGCGTGGGCACAAGATAACTCATTGCTTAACTTCCGTAGTGAAGTACGTCCAGATATGCAGAGGATTCCCAGGTATCACCAGTGTCACTACATGCAGACTTCAATCCTATTCCTTACATGCCCCTGATTTCATAAATATGTGCCTAGTGATTTTTCACGGAGTTAAGTTCCAAGGAGGCAGTTACCAGGCTTCTCGTACTCACTGTTGGATAGCTTGTGGCTGGGACAGTACTAATCGCACGCTACTGAATGAGTGAATGGCATAAAATAAGCCAGCCTGACATTCGGGTTCAGCAGAGCAAGAAGATCAGTGTGAAGAGCCATTAAAATAGAAACCTAAAGCAGGTTAGGATCATTAAATAGAAGTCACTCCCTAAGAATTCCATCACCATTATTATGAGTTAGGAGTCAATGTGTTATTGCTTTAATTATGTCTCCATGAAATGTGAATGGCAGAATCTGATTTTGTGTCCTATTTCCACCCTTGCCCTCTTTAGGTCTATCCTCAGCCAAGCAGCCACAGTGAGCTTGTCAAACTATGTCACATATGTCATTTCTCTGTCCAAAAATGGTAAAAGCTCAAGTCCTTACGATGACCTGTGAGACCAGATAAGACCCTCCCCCCTCCCCCCATCCATTACATGTCCACCCTCGTCCCCCACCACCCTCCCTACAGCCCTGACTTCCTTCCAGCCTCTGGCCTCCCTGCCATTCCTCCTGCCTCAGCACCTCTGTGTTTGCTGTTCCCTCTGTCTGGAATGCTTGTCCAATCCATATTTGCATAGCTTGCTCTCTCACCTGTTTCCAGTAGTCAGCCCAATGCCACCTTCTACCAGATGGCCTATTCCCTTTCAAAATTTTATACTTCACTCCTCAGCACGAAAGACATCGAACCTATTACATATTTTCCATATTTATCCTGTTTGTTACCTAGCTCCATAATCTAAGCTCCGTGGAGGCAGGGGTTTTTGTCTCTTTGTTCACTGCTGTGTCCCGTGTCTAGAACACTCCTTGGCACTTAGCAGGTAAAACCAATGAAGGAAAAATACAAATAGAATACATCCACATAATTAGGCTAGGTTCTGAATAATTTCTTCTCAGTAACAAATGGAAAATGAAAACATTGCAAAGCAATCTGTGGCCATTGCTCTAGACGGTCAGTTACTAAGACAATGCCTGGAAACCTCAAAAGAACGCCCCTTTCCACTACCTACACATATAATTTGGGAACTTACAGTCCAAAGCATTGTTTCCAAATGGCAAAATCCTGTTTCCACACAGCTAATTTCGAAGGACTTATTTCATTGTTGTTTTTGTTTGGGCACAGTCAGACTTGTCACTGCAGTACAATTTATCAAATTTTTCATCTACTCTGAAACGCTTAAAGTTATAACCTGTGTGAGACACAACTCACGTACCAAAAACTCATCATTGTCCAGTGTATACTTCAGCGGCTTTCACTATATTCACACGGCTGTACGAATATCGCTACTAATTCCAGACCATTTTCAGCCCCCCACAAAGAACCTCCAGACCCTCTAGGGGCCATTTCCCGTTTCCCCTCTTCTTTCATCCTCTGGCTGCCACTAACCTACTTTCTGTCTCTATTGATTTGCCCATTCAAACCTAAGGGGTTTTTTTATTGGGGGAGGGGACAGAGAGAGGGGGACAAAGGATCTGAAGCGGGCTCTGCACTGGCTGACAGACTAGACTGACAGCAGACAGCCCGATGCGGGGCTCGAACTCACAAACCCTGAGATCATGACTTGAGCCGAAGTCGCATGCTCAACAGACTGAGCCACCCAGGTGCCCCTCAAAGCTAAGATTTTTTAAACACGTGACCTATAGATCCAAACTCCTGTAAGTTTTAAAAGCCTTGACTGACCTCCATGTCGTATTAACCAAGTAACTTGTCTTCCTCTTGGCAGGAGTTCCCGGAACCACAAAAATGGTGGTAGCTCTACACCTCGGTGAGCTGAAATGGTGGGTGCAGAGACAGGGGCAGAGGCGGCGGAGGGGGATGGTGGAGAGGGAGAGGTGGGGTGAGTGGCCGAGCCATCCCAGCCATTGTGGGTTTATTTCAAACTACAAAACTGACAGAATAAATGCGATCTGTGGTAAGAAGTGGAGGCGGAGGATGGAGAAATAAAACTGTCTCGAGAATCTCCCTATTTCTACTGATGAGACAGAGAGGGACTCTGACTTCACGCCCCAGCCTCCTCATGCCTGTGGGGGGTGAACCCATGCCTCCCGGGTGGGGAAAGATATGGGGGTTTTAATGTGGACGACGCTGGACAAAACAATGAAGGAGTGCACACACTGGGTAAGAGAACTCAATTCTGTGCACAAACACAAATAATAATGTGGCCCACAGTAGGCACTTAATAAGTCTTAGCTGAATGGGGCGCCTGGGTGACTCAGTCGGTTAAGCATCTGGCTTCGGCTCAGGTCACGATCTCGCAGTTCGTGAGTTCGAGCCCCGTGTCGGGCTCTGTGCTGACAGCTCAGAGCCTGGAGCCTGCTTTGGATTCTGTGTCTCCACCTCTCTCTGCCCCTCCTGTGCTCATGCTCTGTCTCTCTCTGTCTCAAAAATAAATAAAAACATTTTTAAAAATTTAAAATAAGTCTTAGCTGAAAATCTTCATGGGATAATGAGCTGATGATGTATGTGGAAGCTCTTTGTAAAATACATGACTCTATACAGATGCATTGTTCATATTTCCTAATCCAATTTCTTCTCCTTAAAGTCTTTCCATCGTTGTCAGGAATTACTTCCAGCAACTTAGATCTATGGGGGGAAAAGGAGGCAAGCTCTACCCTCCAGAGTTAAGAATCTTCTTGAGGAGACTGGAAGAAACTGAAATAGCCAGGAAAACTTTGCAAATGCAGAGTGATATCTGACAAGGAAATTCTAACCCAAGGGTGGCTTTTAGGAGGCCTCTCATGCAGGAAAGGGTGGGCATAGAAAAGGGGAGGTAGGGGAGGACAGCCAACATTTGAGGGATCATAGTCACTAAAGTCAGGCTGTTTTGCTTAAGCCTAAGGAAAAGGCTTGAGATTTCTTGCCATCTTACCTGAGGACAGCATCTAACCCAGAGCCTGCTGCAGCACTGTTACCATCAGATCCCACATCCTGTAAGGCAAATCTTTCCAAGATTTCAAAGGTTCTGTTTGATTCCTTGGAAATAACACTTCTTTGCACTTCTCCACGAACTCTTCATGATAGAAACGTTCACAGTTGTGTTTGTAGTCTTTAGGGACAAAAAGATAAGTTTTAACGTCTTAGATTTGTTTCACATTTTCCATTACATGTGGTTATGATAAATGCCCAGGAAGATGTCTCCCCTTCTGCATCTGTATCACCTTCTGTCTGTGTTGGTACCATGTTTCACAGCCCATCACATATTCTAGTGAAAGCAAACAATAGGCAAGCAATTTAATCTTCCTAAAGCTATTCATATATGGAATCCTATTAGGATTTCAAGTTATTTCATGACCTCAGAATAACAAGGGCAAAAAAATAAAAAATAAAAACTGTATTTGCAAGGCGCCTGGGTGGCTCAGTCAGTTAAGTGTCTGACTCTTGCTTTTCACTCAGGTCACGATCTCATGGTTCGTGAGATAGAGCCCTGAGTTGGGCTCTGCACTGACAGCATGGAGCCTGCTTGGGATTCTCCCTCTCTCTCTGCCCCTCCCCTACCTGTGTATGCTCTCTCCCCTCAAAATAAGTAAACTTAAAAAAAACCAAAAACTAGATTTGCTACATACATCCCCTCATCTTTTTAGATTGTTAACTAAGCATGAAGTTACCTAATTCAATCTTGTGGCAAACGTTTATATGTCTAACCATGGCAGGGGCTGGGAGAGCAGGGTGTATTTTTAGGACAAGATGCCCCGATCCAATGACAACCATGGGTAGAAGTGTAACTCTGCCATTGGGCAAGCCTGTTAAACTCTCTGGTAAAATAACGGGCAGGGCCAGACACTTGGATCTCTCAGAGATTCCTTCCAGTTTCAATTTACCGTAATTCTAAACTCACAGTTTAATTAAAGTCAAGGTGTTCTGGACTGCCAAAATGCCCTTCTGTCTCTGGAGACATTTAGATCCCCCAAAGTTTGTTTTTGCTTTTGTTTTAATGGAGGGAGGCTGTTATGCAGGAAAACGAACACCAGGTAGGCTAACGTGGTAGGTTCTGAAGATACTCACCTTACCTTGGACCTCCATACTTAACTGGACTGCCCTTTGGTTCAGGTTAGAGCCAAACAGACCTGGAAATCCTACAGTCTGGCCAAAGTCAGCTTCAAATTTCAAGATCTTAGACAGAATTGGGAACGATCCCACAGTCTAATGGGTCTCTTGAGGTGAACTTGAACCTCACCCACTAATCTCAAGTACTTCCAAGGACCTCAGAAGTGTTTCTAAGAGTGAAGAGTATGAACCAAATAGCTCTATATTGTCTTATAATAACCACCAGCTTCCCAAGTGGCCTTTTGCTACCCACCACCCACTCCCATCAGATTTTGGAACTACCTGGGTGATTAAAGGGTATCAAAGATACAAAAGAAAAATAATGTAGCGATTCTTTCTAAAGCCTTTTTAAAAATAATTCATCCATTCTGTAACTTCTAATTCACACATTTAGTCCATATATCATACATTCAAAACTAAAGTCTAAAGCAAACTAATTTTTCAGTAATGACTAAAATCAAAGGCAAAGGAGAATACTATGGAGACCCGACCTGTCTCTAACCCAAATACACAGACAGGCTTGATTCTTAAACACATTAGTAAATATTAATCTACATAATGCAGTTCAGATTGAGATTAGTCACTAATAGTGACATAAAGAATACCACCATTAACCATATTTCAAGCTTTGGCCAAAAGCATATATCCTTCCAGCACTCGTGTGTGGTTATTCGTTTTTATTAGCTTTATTTGCTCTGTGCCTAATATGCATTAGGCACTGTTTTTAGGTATTTTACACACATTATTACTCTCAAGGTGGCTAATGTTAACCCATTATACACAAGAAGAGACTAAGGCTTACCAATATTGCCATTTGCTCAAGGTCACACACAGCTAGGAACTGAAAAATCTGAGATCTGAGAACATGTCTGTCCTTAGACATTCTAAAACCCCAACCTTGTAGTAAACATTCAGGATCGTTTTTGACACTCAACACGCATTCACCTACTCTAGTTTCAGTAACAGCCCCAGATTATCATTTGGTATCCCATCCTGTCCCAACTCTCCATTCATGTTATTCCAGTGGGTCTGACTCTACCTCCAGCTCCAAGGTGACATATGACCCAGGATTAGCCAATCAGAGCGTCACACTCTCGTGGCACCAGTGATTAAGTCAGATACAAGCATATGGTCTCAGGCTAATCAGGGACAGAAAGACTCAGTGATAGGTCTCTCAACCATTTCTGCTGGACTTGAATTTAGAGCTGATACAGCCACCTTCCTTCCATGGTGGAGGAGCCGAGGAACTGAAGCAGCATCAGACAGCAGAGCCATGCTGAGAAATAATAAAACACCAGGGCTTGGTAACATCATTGGAGCCACTGGTTGAAGCCTGAGCTGAACCAGACCTAATCCTGGGCTTTAAACTTATATAACCTAATAAATCCCTTTTTCGTTAAAGTCAGTTTGAGTCACCCGCAACCCAAAGAGTTATGACTGACACAGCATTCTTTTCTAGGACTCCAAAATGATTTGGCTTGTAGGCAGAGTTGATGGGCACAGGTGGGATTTCACCACCCCCTTCCTCCCCACCAACGCTGCATTTGAATGACTTTAGGTGAGTCAACTCTGTCCCTTCAGTTTACCACAAATCCACCTGCTCCCTACCATAAGGACTACGGCCTGCCTGGCCCCCCAAAAGCATTTGGGAACGTACCACCTGCCATCGCGTTGCAAGCCCACATTAATTGGGCCTTTACAACGGTACTTCATAACCTTTTTTGGATCATTGGGTCATTGAACCTTCTGAGAATCTGATCAAAGACACAGGCCATCTCCGTACCCCCACCTCCTGCAAAACACACATATACGTGTAAACATTCTAATTTTTTTAAATATAATTTTAAGGGCAGCACAGATCCCTCCCAAAGTCTGTCTAGGTGAAAGACCTCTGCCATTCTCTAATATTGCTCTTCCCCTTTTATTCTGTATGTGTCCATGAGTCACTACTTTCAAAAATAAATGTAATCACTTCATTTAGAGGCAGAATGGCAAGCTGTGCTTATCAAACTTTAAAGGGTATGCAACTTACCTGGTCATCTTATTAAAAGGCAGACTCTTATTCAGTAGACCTGGAATGCATTTCTAAAAAGCTCCTAGGTGATGCTCAGTGCCGGTCCATGGATTACTGAGTGGTAAGGTTGAAAGAAAATGAGGGGGGATTTCGGAGTCAAAATGCCCTGGGTTCCAATCCCAGAATGATCCCTCGCTAATGATGTGACATCAGGGAAGTCACTTAACTGCCATACAGCAGCTTTCATTTGCTCATCTGTAAAACAGGATTTATAGTGCCTACCTTGCAGGGCTAAATCTTGAAGATTAAATGTGAAAACATACAAAAGGCACCCAAAAATTAATAAAAGCTCTCTTCCCTTTAAATAGGGGTTTCTCAGCCTTGACATTATTGACATTTCAGGTTGGAAAACACTTTCTTATGGGGGGCTGTTATGTCTGCTGTAAGATGTGTGGCAGTTTCCCTGACCTCCACCCATTGGGACACCGGGACCATCCCCTGGCTCTGATGCCAGAATGTCTTCAGATTTGGCCCAAATGCCCCGCAGGGAACGACGAGCCCTGATCGAGACGCTCTGCTCCAGATCTACCACATTAACTGCCAAATATTTTAGGTCGTCTCAGAGCTCCTGAACTTCCTCAACAGTCTTCCACGACCCCTCGTTTGCTCTTATTTTCCATTTCAAAAATCTCCAAATGGAGAAATGCATGTTACAGGAATATGGTAACGATTTTAAAGGTTTAAGGAATATGTTCAGTTGTTTAAAGGTTCCTCTTACAAAGAAGACGTAACAAAACATATTAGCCTTATGTTGATAATAGACTTAGCTCTCTCAGTAGTTACTAACCTGTATTTCTGATCATTAAAGTGGCTGGGTAAAGTTGTTCTATCACAACTGACCAGTCCTTGAAAACCAGGTCCCCCAACTCGTGGAGATCTTTATAAAATCGGGACACGGAGCCCTTTGCTAATAATCTTGGCCTTAAGCTTTCCAATCCTTAATTTTTCCTCATCAGTCAGCAGAGATCCCGAGGACAGCCCCTCCTTTTCCTCATCTAAAGTCTTCAGCAGCATGGTTCCAGTCCTAAAGTAAAAATACTGAAATGGAGACTCATTCAGAAATGCTGCTTGGATGACCTCAAACTCCGTCAAACTGTAGTTGGGATTCTCCAGGACCCAAGGATAACCATTTTTTGCAGCAACGTAGAGGTTCTGTTCTACCGTGGATAAACTGAACAAGTCAGTCACTCTGGAGAGCATTGGAGGCACATGGTCAGGGAGGAAGTCCCCGTACGTCTGACCCAGCATGCAGATGAAGAAAGGAAAACAGCTGTTCACATAGTCGAGACAGAGCTTCAGATACTGGGAGTGGAGACAAGAATGCTGTCCGAGCAGGTTGGAGGGTGAGGGTGGCGGGGCCTTCAACGCTGACCACCTCAGGTCCACGGCTTTGAAATACGTGCCCCGGGAATTGCAGAGTTCGTCAAGCTGAGGAAAGAGGTAGTCGGCCAGAAAGTCTCTCTCTTCTTGAAAATCACTCAGAGTCGAGCAGATGTAAGGCTGAATGGGTTTCTGGGGCTTTAAAACAAATTGGGCATACCTGTCTACATGTGCCTTCTGGCTCATTTCACTTTGCTCAGGGGATGACATCGTGTTTAAAATGTAACAATTATCCTGGCACAGTTGCCGACCTCCGCTGCTTCTAAGAATTCCTCCTAATTGTGTTTGCTACAAACACTCTGAAAACTTTCCCCCAAAGGGTTTCTTTCTTACTGACATGCGACGATGAGAGGTGCCAACCAACGGACAGATCAGAGTTGAAAATCCAGTTTAAGTTAGGACTGAAAAAGAAAAAGAACAAGAATGTTCATTTTAGGATTAAAGGAAGTTCACATTTCCCCTGTTCTCCCCCAAAGCTTTTGCTGAAGAGCTGAGAGCCCAGAGGTGAGCAGGCCCTGGACACGAGGCCCCACCCACTGCCACTTCTGCCCCCTGTGAATTTGCAGATTATGCAAGGGGACTTCCTGAGAGGGTGAAAAGGAAGACAAATGCAGAAAATGAGCCTAATGCATCTAGGAGCAGACTTACTCAAGACCACTGACCAAGACCAGAAGCAAGAATGCAAATAGGTTATGAAGTTGAGGTCAGGACAAGAGGAAGAAATCAAGGTGTCACAAGGCCCAACACCAGTAGTGCACCTGGCATCTGAGAGACAAGGAAGTCAGGATCAAAGGCCTTGACAGAGTTCTGAGATTTTTTTTTTTTTTATCTTAAGTTGAGCAGGCTCACATGAACTCCAACCACCTACGTGAGCTGGGAATTCAATTCCACTGAGCCAATGATAAAACACACGCCCTCCAACAACGATGTAGATATGCGTGCACCCTGCTGAGAAGCAAAAAGTTCAATAAAAACGACCTCCTTTCATGAGCATTTTCTTAATGCAAACTCATTTCCATATGAAACTTTGCTTTTTGGGTTATGTTTTTTGCCTTCACCTGTGGAAAAACATCGTGTAATCATGTATAGGCCAATTTTTCATCAGGATCATCTGACAAGAATAATGCAGTGCTTTTTTAAAAAGTGTTAACCCTTTTGCTTTTAATTGTTACAATAGCTCAATAATAGATAATATTGCCACCATACTTTACAGATGAAGAAACGGAAGTTCAAATAGGATAAGCATGTGCAAAGTCACTTGGCTAGTGCGTGGATAGCCAGGATCTAAACACAGGTTAGCCTGACTCCAGAACACATATATTATAGTGCCTCCATATTATAGAGATCATGAAATACCTTAAATCAATGAGTGGGAAATACCTATGCAATAAATGATATTGTAATAACAAGTGGCAATTTGAAAAGAAAAATTTATTTAAGCCATACTCTCACACTACTGTACCAAAAAAAAAAAAAAAAAAGTTATCCAAAATGACAGAATAGGCGTCATAAGTGCTTTATTAACAGACTTCTCTCTTGCCATGTAGGAGGCTAAAATTAAATTGTCAGCCCTTGCAAATATCCACCTTCTCCTAGGTCCGTGCAATCAGAGGTCATTTCTATTTTGGTCTCTACCATGTCCCCAACACCTAGCATAATAATTGGTCCAGAGTGGGTGATAGGTAAATATTTGTCGAATGATAGAATTTAACATAATTTTCAAATTAAAAGAAAACATTATTGAATATTTGTCAAACCGGGAGAGGACTTCTAAAACTTACAAGCTACAGAAGAAATCACCAAAAAAATAAACAGATATAGTTACATTTTGAAAAGACATAAAAGGTAATCAATGGGCTGTAAAAAATATTTTCCACAAATAAATTTATCTTTACTCTAAAAAAAATACTGACATCCTAGTAGACATATAAGCAAAAGACACAAATAGATAAAAAGAAAAACAATGCAAGAATACATATAAACGCATATGCAACCTTGCTAGAATTTTTTTTTTTTATGTTTAAAGCAATGATACAGATTTTTAAGTATAGGTATATAAACATTGGTGAAACTTTTATCTCACATATAGCTATGGAACTGTAAACTGGTAATTTCCGAAAGCGATTGGAAGGTATATTTAGAAGACAAGTGACAATATATTTCAAAATATATTAAAGCGTTTATAATGTTTGACTCAATGATTCCACTTTCTGGGAATCACTCCAAGGAACTAATCGAAATAGTGAAAAACTATAGCCATTAAGATGTTCATTATAGGGGCGCCTGGGTGGCTCAGTCGGTTACGCAGCCGACTTCGGCTCAGGTCACGATCTCACGGTCGGTGAGTTCGAGCCCCGCGTCGGGCTCTGGGCTGATGGCTCAGAGCCTGGAGCCTGCTTCCGATTAAAAAAAAAAAAAAAAAGATGTTCATTATATTGTTTCTGACAGGAAAAATGGTAAAAGAAAGAAAGCAAACTAAATGGTCTTTGCCAAGGGACTAGCTAAGAGGATAAAAGTACGACCATGGATGGCAGGTTGTGCGTCTGTTAAAAAGACAGTTATGGACTTCTGCTTATAGCCATAATAGAACGAGAGGGACTAGACTTATCTATCTTCTTCAGAAAATTAGAAAACTGGCAAAACACATTAAATAGCTTTTTTCAGTTATTAGACTTCAGGCAGTATGGGAGCGTAAAGCCTAAGCGAACTAGAGTATATCAGAAAAAGTCTGGGGTACCTGGATGGCTCAAATCTCATGGTTCATGGATTTGAGCCCCCGAGTTGGGCTTTGCACTGACAGTGTGGAGCCTGCTTCTGATTATGTCTCCCTCTCTGCCCCTCCCTCGCTCGCACATAAACTCTCTCTCTCTCTCAAAAATACACAAAAAAGAAAAAAGAAAAAGTAGACTTCAGAACAAAGAGTATTACTAAGAATAGAGAGTGACGTTACATGATGATAAAGGAGTCCACCAAAAAGACCTAACAATCTTAAGAGTGTATGCACTTAACGACAGAGCTCCAAAATACACAAAGCAAAAACTGGCAGAAAGAAGAAACAGACAAACCCTTAATATAGTCAGAGATTCAACATTCTTCTCTCACTAATCGATAGTTCAAGAAGACAAACAATCTGTAAGGATACAAAAGATCTGAAAAACACCATCAAACAACCTGACATTTTTTTTTTAATATTTCCCCCAACAACAGCAGAATACTGATTTCTTGTCAAGTGCACGTAGAACAAGCACCAAGATAGATCATATGCTAGGCCAGGGGTCAGCAAACTACAGACCGGAAGTTAAAGCCCATCTGTTAACCTGTTTTTATAGAGAACATTCTATTGGAACACAGCCATTCCCATTCATATATATTTCATGCTATAACAGCAGAGTTGAGAAGTTGAGCCTGTGAGGAGGTTTTGAGTATAAAGTCTGAAATATTTTCTATCTGGCGCTCTATTTTTATTTTATTTTATTATTGTTTATTTATTTTTGGGAGATAAATAGAGAAAGCAAGCAGGAGAGGCACAGAGAGACAGGGAGACAGAGAATCCGAAGCAGGCTCCACACTGTCAGTGCAAAGCCCAGCATAGGCCTCTAACCCACGAACCCTGAGATCATGACCTGAGCCAAAGTTGGATGTTCAACCAAATGAGCCATGCAGGCACCCCTCTTTCTGGCCCTTTAAACGATGTTTGCCAACCTCCATTCTATGCCATAAACCAAAACTCAACAAATCTGAAAGAACTGAAATCATATAAAGTACCCTCTTTAACCACCATGGAATTGAATTAGAAACTAATAACAGAAAGATACCTAAAAAATTCACAAGTTTTGGGAATTACACACTACATTTCTAATTGTAAACTCATGGGTGGAAGAGAAGAAAATTAGAGCAGTGATAGAAATCAGTAAGAAGGCATCGCTTGCCTAGTGGAGGGGCAGGGGATGGAAATAACTTGGAAGAGTCACAAGGGAACTCTTTAGGGCAATGGGAATGTTCTATATCTTAATTATAGTGGTGATTAGGTAGAGGCATTCATCAAAATTCACCAACTGAACATTTAAAATGGGTGCGTTTAGTGGTGCCTGGGTGGCTCAGTCGGTTGAGTGTCTGACTTCAGTTCAGGTCATGATCTCATGGCTCTTGGTTTTGGCTCAGGTCATGATCTCCTGCTTCGTGAATATGAGCCCCTCATTGGGCTCTCTGCTGTCAGCGCAGAGCCTGCTTCTCATCCTCTGTCCCCCTCTCTGCCCCACCCCCACTCACGTGCGCGCTCATTCTCTCTCAAAAATAAAAACATTTTTAAAAATGGGTTCATCTAAATTTTATGTAATTTATACTGAAATAAGTTTAATTCTTTTTTAAATTTTTTTTTTCAACTTTTTTATTTTATTTTTGGGACAGAGAGAGACAGAGCACGAACGGGGGAGGGGCAGAGAGAGAGGGAGACACAGAATCGGAAACAGGCTCCAGGCTCTGAGCCATCAGCCCAGAGCCCGATGCGGGGCTCGAACCCACGGACCGCGAGATCGTGACCTGGCTGAAGTCGGACGCTCAACCGACTGCACCACCCAGGCGCCCCTGAAATAAGTTTAATTCTTAAAAAAATCTGAGAACTAGCAAGAGGAAAATATTTATAATGGTTGGGTGAAAAGGCAAGAAAAAAAGCATAGGCCATAATAACAACAGTGTCAACAAAATGCAGCTAAGTATGGGAAACAGCACACTACAGAGGTGAACGAAAGCTCTAAGCTCAGAAGACCGATTCCCTGGATTCGGGTTCTTATAGTAAGTTTCTCAATTTCACCATGCTTCAGTGTCCTCATCTGCAAGATAGGAATGACAGGATCCATATCATAAAATACTAGAGAAGATCAAACAAGTTATTAGATGCAAAATGCTACGAACAGTGTCGGTAACAAATATCCAATGAATGTTAACTATTATTATCAGAAGAAATGCACATGAGGGAAAAACAGAAAAGAAAAATGATATGGTAGCTGTGTTAGAATGGCTAATTATGGCAGATTGCAGCATATCTATTTCTCTAATCAAAATGTACTCTTACCTCTGGGCTGCCATCCAGGGACATGCCATCCAGACGGAGGAAGACCCAGAAACGTCGGGGCCACGTGAGCCAGGGCCACATGAGCCAGGGGCACGTGAGCCACGGCCACGGCAGTCTCACAGCACCAGAAGCACCCAGGAGGCCAGGGTAATGCTGGTGGCATGCATCACCACGGGACCAACTTTGACAAATATCACCCAGGTTACTTTGGGAAAGTTGGCATGAGGCATCACCACTTAAAGAGCTTCTGCCCAACTGTCAACCTTGACAAACTGTGGACCTTGGGCAGTGAGCAGACATGGGTAAATGCTGCCAAAAAGAAAACAAGAC